GTCTGACCGTATTTATTCGTCGAGTCCGCTTCGACGTCGTCCCGTTCGACCAGCAGCCGAACCACCGCCTCGTGCCCTCTTGCTGCCGCCCACGACAGCGACGTCCGACCGAAACTATCCTTCGAGTCCGCTTCGATGCCGATGTCGCCGCATTTGCCCACTAAGAGTTTCTCTGTCAAATAAAGCAGTCCATACCTCGCTGCAAGGTGCATGCCCGTTGTTTGATTTGGGAATCTCGTACTATAGCCTTCGTATTTATAGTTTGACATAGACACAGCTTGGATGGCGGCGTCAACTAAGGCTTCGTCGCAGAGAAAGGCTAGCGCTAAGCTAGAAGTTGTCTTCTCCACAGGCCGTATATGCTCGCTCCAATAACGTGCTGAGTAGTCATAGAATGCATTCTCGGTAAGCTTCTCCGCGAAAGCTCTATCATTAGCACAGCTGCCGCTCCGAAACGCGTCGAAAGATAAATACGTTAAACAGGCTACCGTTATCGCTTCCTGAGCGCTAGGGTTCCATTCCAGGCGTATGCGCTCAAAGTACTCCTGTGTCGTGTAGTGCACGAGCCGGATGACGTTGCTCTCCTCGTCTACCGTAACAAGCCCAGCGCAGACGGAGATAACGTCTTCCACGTCATCAACACTATCATTGTTCAGAGTTTTATCGTCTGGCTCGATAGCTAGCGCATGGCATAGCTCTCGAGTAGTAAGTGGTCTCTGGGCATATGTTATCCAAGATAGTGCACACCTTGCCAGCGAACGGTCATTGTCCAGTTGCCCGTCTATTCGCTTGATGGCCTCGCCATAGGCTTTTTCGAGCGCCGCTGAACCCTTAGTCAGTTTCTCTAGCGTAGACATAACACTCTGTTTATTCCTTTTATCAAGGAGTGAGTCGACATGAAGACGCGCGAGAAGGAACCTGGCCATTCAGTAAGTAAAACTGCTTCGCAATTGTAAACCACTAGAGAGCACCCACATGCCATCAACGGCTCCCGCAATCTTGTCCTGTACAAGATTCTGGAGCTCCTCGTTGCGTTGAATACATTTCGGTAGACGTGGTATATGACCATCTATAAAATGCCTGACGTCCGAATCGCTGGCTCGCACCTCTAGACTTGGGCTCGATCGAAATCTTTCCGTTACTTCGGGAATGAATCGGGAGGTGAGCATAAGCCGCAAGTCTCCTTTCGTTTGCAGCTCGCAGAGCTTGTCGATAAGTCGTCCCCGCCCACCATCTGTGTCCGCGCATTCGTCCAACGCATCTACAAGAATATATACCGTAGTTTGGTTGGAGCAGACAGACTGCAGAGCCTCGAATATGTCGCTGAGGGATGGCCGGCTTTTCTTCTTTGTGTGATAATCGTACATGCGCGTCACCGGGGTTGCCATGTCCGGTTGGCTCTGCACTAACTGTTTCAGGAGAGCAGTAAGCAGATTAAATACGCTCTGGTCGGCTTTCGCCTTATAGCTGCAAAACAGGTAAGCAATTTCAACGTTATCACTCTGCACCGTCCTACAGAGATGGTCGATAGCAATAGCTGTCATCATAGTCTTGCCGGCTCCAGGGATGCCAGGACAAAATAGCGTCCGATTGGCTCCCTGCGACCACTCTTGAAACTCTGGAGAGTCTATAAACCATTGCCCCGTATCTTCTTGTCTTCGGGAGATAATATCGTGTTGCTGGGCCGGGAAGTCTGTCGGCGATAGCCAATCCAGCATCGTCTGGCGCTGCTGGAGCTTCTGGGCGTCCCATTGCAGGCTTTGAGTGTCCCGGATGGTGACGATATCTGCTTGAAGGAAGGGGATAGCATTTCGCATAACTTTAGTGTCCTCCTTAATCGCTTCGGATAGTTTGCTTTGATACCATAAGCAAGCATGCTTCGACCCGTTGCCTCGACGACTTACAAATGGTCCATCTCAAGCGAAATACTCACAAGACTCTTCAACCGCTCCAGTCGTGATAGAATACTCGCAACTTCTGCCTTGATAAACTTCCACAGGACCTGCCTCTTAACCATTTTTGTCGTATTTTGGATTTCCACTCTCGAACATAGCTGCTCTAAGGTCTGCTTGTACTGGTCGAGAGGTCCATTCGCAACGGTGAGAGCCCGAACTGCTGTGAACCAGGGATCATTGGTATGACCCTGTTCAAGGAGATAACGAAGACTCATTAGGAGAGATTGAAGGTTCGATGCCTCGATCGTGCATTGTTGGCATTCTTTCGGCGCGTCCCTGACATCGTTCAGGTACTGGATGACTTTGCCTGTGAGCTGCAAAATGGCGATAACGCCGGCGGTGACGCTGAGCGGATCCATTTTGCGATAGGACTAAGTGGGGAGAGTGAGGAGAGTTGCTCTTTGATGAACGACATCGTTTGAGCATCTTGTAGCTGTACCGCTGTAATTAGCCTTCCGGTGAACCAGGGGAGCTCCAGATGCGGCGTACTCTGCCTTGCTGTGCCAATGTCTGCGCCATCTTAATGCGCCTCCTGTTTGCTGGCACGTGTCAGGAACTTTGGTATACTCGTCACGTCACTGTATTGCTACTTTGTTCGCTCCTGTACTCTATCTTCACCGTGTGAGTATAATGACTGCTTATGAGTACTCAAGGAAAAGGGAAATTTAGTGAGCTACCTGAGTCACCACCCGTCCCCGGCGTTGAAATAGACTTATGTACGGGACGGGCGGCGGTCCCCCTAGTATGTGATGTACGCTGAGAGAGCCTAAGTTAGCTTGTTGAGACTAGTAGCACGAGTCACTCCCACGGCCGGCCACGATCATCCAGGATGGCATCCGTTGAAGGTCTCCACTTATTAACGCATTCATCACTTCTAGACTTCTAGTAGAGTAGTGCCCAATGCTTGCCAATTGAAACTTCATAGATTCCTTTGGACAATCGATATCATAGAATAGAAGAGTGAGATATGAATACAGCTATGAAAGGTGTTGAGGTAGTGAGAAGCATGAGCAATGCCTAATCTATTCAAATTCCAAGTGACGTTTGGTCTTACCTACACCTTATATAACGAGTAATTAACCACAACTCTACTTGACTTTAGTTCTTGTAGAAGTGTCCTTTTGGTTTGGTGGTTAAAGTCGTCTTATAAGTTAGCAGTGGCTATAAATCAAGCGAATGGTACATATCGGGTAAGCATATCCGTCAATCAATCCTCAGTCTCTCTTCGAATGCCTTAGGGTCATTGAGCCCGCCATTAGCATTGACGACACTGCAAGACGACACCTCTTGGCCACCCCATGGATATCAGGTGGTCATCTCGTTCTCATGGCTCAGCTCCGACAAAACCAGTGATAATGGCGCTGTAAACCAGCATAGCGTGCATGAAATGCTCCGCCGCGACGGAGGCAGAAGCGTTACGAATAACAGATTATAACCAGAATTGAGAGCAAGAAACGACTTGAACTTGAGTAGTGCCGATTTTCTTCTTTCCCCTAACCAGCCGCGTGATCTTACCTTCATCTGGTTTTCTTCGAACGCGGATGGTGCCCAACGTCCCTGAAAGATATGACTGTATATTATAGGAAGACTAATAAGGCAGGGAGAATGCGAGTTTATACAAACTGATAAGAAATACTCTATCTAGACAACACATGAAACGACGCGGAATGGAGATATATCACATGGAGCGGGGGAGAGAAATGCCGCGATTAGGAATCGGTCGTCATCGTAGAAAACTATGGAAACTGGCCCAGAGCATAGTTCACCATACTGGACGCCGGTAATGTAGGGAACCGAGTTTTCAACATGGCGAAGGCGTGATGCTTCACCGGCCCTAGAGCTGGAACTCTTCAGTGATCCTGGGCCAATCAATAAGACGCCCAAAACCTACCAAGAGACATCACTCGCGCAGGACATCCTCGACGAACTCCCTACACCTCCACCATATCAACGCCAAATACCTATGTTTCTGGTTAGAGCCATGGCTTCATTCTTAATATCTTTGCTAATCAGCCATCAGCTATAGCCACTACTCAACATTGCTCTGTAACGCTACCGTGTAGGCATGCGTAAAAGTCTCCTGTTTGACAAACTTCATTTACATTCCACTAAGTAGAGAATGACTGGTATCTATTCCAAGTCATTTCGCCCTCCTCCATGGTCCTAATGATAACCCAAGCCATCGGCACGACTGGCCTAGAAGGGCCTCCATTCGAAGGCCGAGCGCTAGGCGGTATGATTCTCTCTAGAAACGCAGGAACTTCATCCACGTATCTCTGGAGACTGGCATCGAAGAACAATATCAGCGATCCTCGAAGGATGTTCGCGCCAAATACCTCTCGGTATCTCGCCTCTGTCGCCCGCAATGTAGGCATTATTGCGGGTTCCGGAGATGGGGATTCGGAACTGGAGGGTTCCGAGGACTCGGAATCGTCGGGGGCGGGGGAAGCAACAGGCGCGGATGTTGTAATCGCTGCAGGTGCTGCATTGGGGCCGGAAGATGGAGCAGGAGGGGCAGACGTTTCGGTTGGCTCTTGGCCGGCCGCTAGGCCCGAGGTGTTAGCATACAACGTGAGACAGGACTGAATGGGGAGGTTGTATCATAGTCGTCGTAAGCGAAACATACCCATAACCTGGATCCGTCGCAACGTAAACAAGGTGAGCTGACGGAGCAGGTCCTCTCCTATATGTCCCAAGTCTATAAAGTTAGTACGGCGCCTGGAAACATGAAGGTAAAGGAGGTACTTACCCATACCGGTTTCATCAGATAAGGCCCCTCTCAGACTTCTATCGGGGATGCCATCGAGTACCCGTCCTAGAACCTCCTCCAGAACGGGAGGGTAATTGGAGAATGGAGATTCTCCTTGAGCTCCATGAACGGTATCTCCTTGAACACCATCGTTATCCTGTGAGGTCACTGGTCCAATGTCAGTCAGTCATACTCGATATCTCACTTTGTATGGGATACCTTACTGATGACTGCTAGATTGAGAGGTTGATAGAACACAGTTTGGAGCGAATATGTAGATGCGTAAAGAGAACCGAAGAGAGCGTTAAAAGATGAGAACACTCTTTATGCAGGCCAACGGCTCAGTACATGTTGTTATCACTTATTTTTGCCGTTAATCAGTTGAAATTGAAGCCACACGGCTGAATAGAACTCTGATCCTTTCGACATCGCTTCATGGGCGACATCTGTCATCACACCAAAAATACAGATACTTGCCAACAGTCCAACGGGTGCTTGCAACCAATTTCTGTGCATCCACACACTAAGACAGCGAATGTCTGTTCCACAATGCAATATTATATTGAAACAGTCCGATCCCAGAGCCATCAGGGGCAAATTACCACCAGTCCCTGGACAAAGCCCCAAAGTGTTATTTTCAGTGCGCTATCAATGTAAAATGCACCGATGATGATTGAGTCCTGGCTAGGTGTTACATTCGACATGGTTTCGGTCATAATACTTAGAATGATCTGCTGATGTTGGGCACACATATTTGGAAGCGTAGAAAGGAGAGAGGTCAGAGTTTAGGACAGGGTCAAATATGGTGTCCTCCAAAAGACTTTTAGAGGATGCAATGGGATCGGCATCAGCTTTGTCATCTACAAGACATCCCTGAGCATCGGCTTACAGTATATTGTTGAACAGTTGATCACCTGGCTAGTCCACGGCCAGTGCTCTATTTATCCTCCGACTGAATCTGATGCACTTCATGCCAGTCACCCTCAAGGCATCTGGCTTACCACTAAGAGTCAAATATCCGTGTCAGAATCTGCTACCACCTTCAGTTCTGACCAAGGAGGGGGGGATTGAGAGCGATATCATTCTCCCCAAGTAATGCGAGCCGATTCTCTCTCACCTCGACAAGTGCTTCTGTCTGGTCCAGTTGCAGAAATAATCGGATCACTGCTCTGATTTGGTGTCTGTCAGTGGCTGTTGTCACTTGGCCAAGTGTCACGCGTATTACAATCAATATGAGGAAGCATACTTGTGAGGAGACGGTTGACTTATCTCCTAGGTGTCTCTTAGGAGCGAGTCACTTTTATAAATAAGTTCTGATCAACTCATACATGTAAACAAAGGGGGAAAAGCAAGGGAGCCATAGCAGCAGTGACGGAGCCAAAGCACACTGAGAACGGAGCCACAGCGCACAGAGAACGGAACCACAGCGCAGAGAGGACTGAGACACCACGAATCCACGACAAGCCACAACCTATTGCTGGCTCTTCGGCAGTTTCTTTTTTAGCCTCTCCTCTATCACAGCTGTTAGGCTCAACACCCCTTTCCCCTTCTCTTTCATTGACTCTTACCCCATGCCTTGCGGCCCGACTTTCGCTCTGCACTTCATCGGGCCGTGCACTGTACTTCCAGCATGCCCTTCATTGTGTCCCACATCGCGTCTTGCACAATGCCCTTCATCGTGTCTCACTTCGTGTCGTGGGGCATGCCCTTCACCGTGTCCTGTAGCATGCCTTCAATTATGTTGCTCATGACATTTTCATGGATGAAACATCGATTCTTGCTTCATCATCGCCATAATTTCTGCCGAGAAGAGACCGTTGTTTGTACTCGGGTGCCTCCCAGTGTCTATGTGGGCTCCTAGATCGACCTCTCACCTCATGAGTTTCGTTTTCGGAATGTTCTGAAAAGAAGGGTTTCTTATACATAGGATTATCCCAAATCGCCTGCTTGATATCGGGGGTAGATTCCTCATACTCCTGGGTGAGCCGGTTTCTGAGGATTGCGAAAGCCCCCTCGGCCCGATTTTTCAATTTTTCAATTCTCCGGTTCGCGCGGATAGCTTCTATTTTGTTAGTTCTCTCTCTTTGGACAAAATGAAGTGAGACAGCGCTTACTTTACCGCCCGTTAGGAACATGCCAGTGAGGCCATATCAGTTCGAGATCATCGCAAGGGAATTTTGCCTCGATTTCGTACTTTATATCCTTTGGGGATAGACTTGGGGCCATCAGTTCCGTCGACCACTTGTGGTGGGTGGGCAGTTGTGTATAAATACGGGTGTTTTGGAGGGGGGGAAGAGACAGATGATACATCTAACGTGGACGATGAGGGTTATTGAGCTGGTCGTGTACCTGCTGTATAAGGCAACCTTTGGTTGAGTAGCTACAGTAGTTGAGGGTCCGAACAATAGGGGGTGGCTGAATACGATTCAAGAGTGGCTAATCACCATGCCTGACCGCAAAAATAGGAGACTGGAGAGCCATCAGATCAAGCGATGCTAATATACAATTCTACATGCAAGACAGTGGCAGAACAGACATTTGCAGGAGATGAAATCAGTAATGCGATATCCTTGACGTGCTTCACTATTTTACCCACAAAGAGAGTCATGTAAGAGATCTCGTCAGTGCCAACGAATAACCACTCGACCAAAAATACACAGGGCCTATTGCAGCGTACTAACAACATGGACTCTGCAACTACTCCTTTTTAATTTTTTTTCTCTTGTTCCTTTATATTATATCGACCTGTCGAATTTAAGGGGGCATATGGCAGAGCTCGTCAAGGGTTTGTTGTCTTTAAGTTCAACTGACTACGAATCATCGGTTGATGCGGTGGATCCCTGGGGGTGGGGGATTGGTGGCACGTAATTTCAACATGTCATCGAAATGAGACGCAGAGTAGTTGGTATGGAACGTCTAGGTAGTATTTTTTAGTAATGGTCATCTAAAACTCATAATATTCATCAACTCAGGAGGTAATAGCTGCGTCGCGGAGGTCCCGCAAACCTAAGTTCCGCGAACCTGGAGCTTGACCTCCGTATCACCGTATCACCAAAGATTGGCATAATGGGTGTCTATTCTTGTTGACCCGCACTGTTGAAGGTCCATCTATAGCTCAAGAGCAAACACATGTCTTGGCTAATCGGTCTTTCCTAGTCGACCACTTGATCAAGCCACCCGGTGCTCCTCCTCAACCCGCTTTCGCCGCAGGACTTTTTGATGGCGGATCATCAGCAGCGAAATGACGATTCCCATGGCACTCCCCACTAGCGTGATCCAATACGCGCCAGCATAGCATTTCAAACCCTCCGAGCACGTCCGATCCCCGTTCGGCAACACCGTCGAGTGATGATCGTAGATCCGGCCGTAGCATAAATTGAACAGATACGCCCCGGCCATACTGCTCAGGATCATATACCCCCAATTGAGGCTGAGCCCATTGACGCCAAATGCATCGGTAACCAGCGCAGGGAACACGCCAAACAGGGCGCCGTACGCCAGGCCGCTGAAGCCGGAGACGACCCAGAGGAAGTTGGGGTTCTCGATCTTGATGGCGGCGAATTGGGAGAGGGTGAAGACGCAGGAGCTGGCGACGAGGCACCAGAAGCGGGACATGTGGAGGTGCTTGACGAGGTAGTCGGAGCCGATGCCGGAGAGGAGGCGGCCGGCGAACGACATGGCGGAGATGATGGAGACGTGCATGAGTTGGCGGCGCATGATGAACTCTTTGGTGACGGAGTCGTCCCAAGATGTCCAGAGTGCTTGAGCCTAGGTATTGTTAGTAGGAGAGGTCGCCAGGTCTAATGAAGGAGCTTACGTCATTGCCAATGTTGCTGCGAAGGGTTAGCGGAGTCTACGTTCGAACAATGGTTACTACTCACTTAATCGTCATCAATCCAACCCCGGTCAAAAGACCGAGCATGACCCAGAGCTGCCAGAACTCAAACTTATAAAGCAAGGCCAACCCGGTGACATCTACATGACAGGAGTGATTGCTGTTAGTACTTCCCATATCTTGCTCTACATCGATATCGCCCGGAACCGACGACGAAGTTTTGGACATGAGGGAGGAAACTTCGTCCACCTCTTCGACGGCGTGGGAGGATTGCGGCTGTTGGACTGCGCACGTCTTGGCAGCTGCACTTTGATAGGTACCATATGATTGCCTGTCGAAATCTAGCTCACCTTCGCCTGGAATGTCATCCCGGCTGCTTTTGCTGCGGATGGATCGTGTTCGGAGCATGGGATTCGAGTCGCGGCGGCGTCGGGATAGTCCGTCATCGTCGGTGGGGAGGGAGGCGTACGTTGCCGTTGGGGCGGGGAGATAGATAAAGAATTGAGAAATGAAGACGAGCGCGAACGTCCCGATGGAGAGGAGCAGCAGAAAGGACGACGTGTTGTCGGGGAACGCGATCGAGGATAAGGTCGAAAAGAAAAGAGCGCTTAATCCGAAAGCCGCCAGCGGCATGGCCGTCGCTGTGCCTCGATGAGATGGCCAATTGATGGCCGCTAGAGATGTCAGCGTCGGCGAGGAATAGGCTCTCAAACTCCTTACCCGTTTTAATAGCCGCTGAAAATGCTGCACAGCTACCCAAGCCCGTCAAGAAAGAAAACAGACATAACAAGAAGACGCTCATAGACCCGGCGCCATGATCGTATGCTTGGCCGTGTCAGCACCGTTTCCCAAGGACGTCAAGGGTCCGTACCATATCGTATAGGAAAATACCCAATCCCAAGGCAGAAAGAACCGAATATCATCGACGGTCGTGGCCCTTTCGTGTCGATAAACATGCCTACTGGTATACCGGTGGCATACATGCCCATGTTTCCGCATGTTCCCTGCCAGCTATTAGCACCGTGTGGCCCTCGGTTTCCCATCAGAATATCTCTTACAATTAGGTTGCTGTAGGTGGCTGATAGCTTCATACGGTCGGCAAATTGCGGTCCCCATGCTGAATATGCATACTGCGAAGTGTAAGTACCCGACCAGGTAGCTTCCGTCGAGGTAGTTCTTACATTGGACCCGCAAGCAAGGCTCATAAATGTCACCGCAACCACCGCCATCACCCGCAACTTATGATGAGCAACGTCTGCCATAGTGAACACGAAAGCTGCAATACCAGCGATACAATGGTCGCGGCAAGGGGAGTTTTGAGCTTCAATATATCATGTCGTACAAACAATTGCACGTGGCGTCGTGGTCAGGAGGAGGTTCGGACGATATCGGTGATGGGCGAAGGGGTCAGGTGGTCAGGCCCGTCGTCGGAGATATCGACTGAAGGGGGAACAAGGTAGGCAAAGGGGTAGAATGGCCCTGCTTTGGAGTTAATTATCAATGTGTTTGTGAAGATGAAGCACACAAATACACGACATATTACAATGGGTCGCAACGGGGTCTTGTACATAATCCCGTCTCCAACAAATGCCGAGATGCCGTGGTTCATTTGGGTCCAGAATGTGGGGGGACTCCATGTAGATGCAGCGCCTGAGGCAACAAGGCTTGAATGAGTCCGAGGGAGCCGTAGTTTACCCGCAGTTTATCCACATCCGCCCGCCGCACGCCGCCGGAAGCCTGCTGCTGCATCGCCGCCTGCTTTCGTCACTCCACTCTATCCCGTCCATCCTCCCCTCTTGAGTCTGGAGACATCTGTAACCTCACTGTTATCGACTGAAGAGCAACAGATCAGTCAACATGGGCGCCCTACTGTCGCTTCCTCTCCTGGCAGTGCCCAGTATGGGTACAGTAAGTGTTCCTTTGGTGGGACGATACCATCACCGCTAACTCCGATCTCCAGCTCTTCACCTTTGCCGCCTCATGCTGCGGCGCTGCGACCTGTTCCGCTGTATGCAGCGCCTGCGGGAAGTGCAATAATAGGTATGGACTGGCATAAAGGAAGGATATCGATGGCATCGCAGATGGCTAACCCTGACCTATAGCGTCGCTACCCGGATAGCATACGCCCTCCTCCTCCTCGTCAACTCCATCGTATCCTGGCTGATGCTGACGGACTGGGCGATTAAGAAACTACAAAACCTGACACTGGACTACATGACGATTACCTGTGGCGGAAAAGAGTGCTATGGCTTCGTTGCGGTCCATCGAATGAACTTTGCGCTGGGTGCCTTCCACGCGCTGCTCGCCATCATCCTGTTAGGAGTCCGATCCACACGAGACGGCCGAGCGCCGATTCAGAACGGGTTTTGGGGACCGAAGATCATCGGCTGGCTCGGGTTAATCGTCGTCTCCTTCCTCATTCCTGATGGTTTCTTCATCGCCTGGGGCAACTATGTCGCCTTCGTGGGTGCGATCCTTTTCCTCCTCTTGGGCCTCATCCTCCTGGTCGATCTGGCCCACACCTGGGCGGAGTACTGCCTGGAGCGCATCGAAGCGACCGACGCCTCCGCCTGGCGCGTTCTCCTCATCGGATCTACGCTGTTCGAATACCTCGCCGCGCTCGCCATGACGATCGTCATGTACATCTTCTTCGCCGGCGGCGGATGTTCCATGAACCAAGCGGCCATCACCCTCAACCTCCTCTTCACCATCGGCATCTGCGTCCTATCAATCCACCCGGCCATCCAAGCCGCCAACCCGCGCGCCGGCCTCGCCCAATCTGGCATGGTCACCATCTACTGTACCTACCTCACCATGTCCGCCGTTTCCATGGAGCCTGACGACCGGCACTGCAACCCGCTCGTCCGCGCCTCCGGCACCCGTACCGCCACCATCATCCTCGGCGCCATCATCACCTTCCTCACCGTCGCCTACACCACCACCCGCGCCGCCACCGTCGGCCTCGCCCTCGGCGCCGCCCCCGGCGCCTACTCCCGCGTCGCTACCGACGACTACGAACACGGCCTCGTCTCCCAGCAGCCGTCCTCCCGCCGCGACCTCCGCGCCCAGGCCCTCCGCGCCGCCATCGAGTCCGGTTCCCTTCCCGCCTCCGCCCTGGACGACGACAGCGATGATGACTCCGACTCTGGCGCCGCCAACCCTCGCGACGACGAGAAGTCCTCCACACGCTACAACTACGCCCTGTTCCACGTCATCTTCCTGCTGTCCACCGCCTGGGTCGCCACACTGCTGACGCAGAACGTCGAAGCGCAAGACACCGACGGGAACTTCGTGGCCGTGGGGAGGACGTATTGGGCGAGCTGGGTGAAGATCGTGAGCGCCTGGGTGTGCTATCTGATTTATTCGTGGAGTTTGGCCGCGCCAGCGTTGATGCCAGATCGGTTTGATTATTGATTTGGTGGATGATTATGTCAATGGAAGCATTTTTGAGCATTTGTGTATTTGTGATTCCAATAGAGTCGGTCCTTGCTATATCGCTGGTGCTCTCCGGACCGACATCAATACGATCGGGTAGATACAATTGCATATCTCCCAAACTCAATTTGTTAACGGTGATCAAAACTGTACCTGCCCGCCCCTGCAGGACTATCACGTTTGTGCCAGTAGGAAAGGCACCAAGTATTTGTATCAGTATATTGTTATCTGTGCATGACACACATCTACCTGTCTCACTATCGAAATATCTTCATAACGTACAGATTAGCCATGCCCAGGCTCCCAGCTCGTAACCGAGAATTCAAGTACAATCTCTCCTTTCCGCAGCCACACCACACCTCCCATCACCATCGACAAGGGGCAGCTGCTAACGCGGCATTTGTCCCCCAGCCAAAACGCAGCATCTAACGGCTCTACGACCGCGAATCAACAGCCCGAAAACTCCAACGGAAGGAAAAGAACGCCATATTCATGCACGCGGTCCGCCAGAAACCGAGACAATTAGCGCGCCCGCTTGGCCAATTCAAGACCGTGATATCATCAGAGACAAAGGAAAAATAAATAACAGTTTTGCGTCTCGTCGCGACGAGTTTCGTCAGGGTATATGATACAGGATATATGAGAAAGTTGCCGCAAGGAAACACAAGGGGGGCGGCTCCTCGCGGTGTGGTTATGAGAGGGAGTTGGTTCCGCCAGTGGGCGAAGGTGGGAAGCCCCGAGTCGCGCTGGGTGGGATGGGGAGAGGTCCCATGGGTACGGGCTTCATCGGGGGCAATGCCGCGCTGTTGGTATGGGCCGAGCCATTCGCCATCGTGTCTCGTGGTGGTAGGACATTCGGAGCGGGTGAAACGCGGACCGGTGAAGTGTTGGTGGTCGACGTGGGGGATTCGGATGCACTCTGGGCAACCGGAGGGTTGATTCGATACGGAAGGGAGAAATTGAGAGCGGAGGAGCGGCGGGGGTTGGATGTTGGGGTAGTGGAGCGGGGGCGGAAACGAGAGGAAGAGAACGGCGCGGAATTCGAGTCGCCGGAGTGCCGCTCGATACTGGTTCTCTCAGCGGAGAACGCGCCGGGGGTGGAGATCGCGTGTTCGTCGAGGGAGGATAACGCGCTGTGAGAGGCGCTCCGGTACGGGATGGCTTGACTGAGGGTGGGGCCGATGGTCGATCCCGGTGGAAGCGCGCTCGAAAAACCGGTGAAGCTGGTAGATGAATTGCGTGGACGAGAGGAGAGGAAAGGAGCGTGGTCAGACCGAACCTGAAGAGAAGTTGGACGTCGAGGATTGCGAGATGTGGTTTGAGCGATGCCTGGAATGGTTGGGCTATCCTTTTGTGGGGTTCGGGTAGGAGAGTCGCGTGACGGGGTCTCGGGAGTCGTGATAGCATGACTTTGAGGGATGGTTTGGAGAGAACGTGTGCTGGTGAGGGTGAGGGGAAGCGGCCCAGCAATTGTTCGTTGATGTTCCATCGAGGTAGTAGGTAAAGAAGAGTTGCGTCGAGGGACATGGACTGCCGCACTGTCTATGTTGGAACCCGCAGTATTAATGACGGAAGGTCGAACAGGGAAGGGGCGGAAAGAGGCACGGCGCGTCACGATGGTCTTTGTAGGACCATCCGACGGCGAGGCAGACCCTTGAATCGAGTTGGCTGAGGGCACCTTCCTGAGTGGTGCCAGTGGCTCGATATCTCGCGATATCGCTGCATTGCTGATGGCCACCGGCTCATCCTCTTTGGCGTCTGGAACAGGTGGAAGTATCTTGTGGATGCTCGAAGCAGAGGATGCCTTCGAAGCAGACGATGAAATGCTTCCATTCCTTAGACTTGAAGATGATGGTGTCCGTAATGGCGCATCCTCGGAAACAACCTGACCGGTGAGGATGAGTGGTTGCATTCCGTTGGCCGGACTAACCACAGAATTCCGTGCCAACCTCGCCTTCTGCACCCGCTCGGTGATGGAAGCTGATACGGCGTTGTCGGTGGACGGGAGTCCAAGAGAATCTTCGCTCGTCCTAGGCAGTGCTTGAACGCTTCTCCTCCAGTTAGTGGCTGCAGGACTAAACGCATTACCATTCGGTGCCATGGAACTCCGGTACGAACTCTTCATGCCTGCTGGATTTCGGAGATGTGATTCGTCGCTTTTGGGGGGAATTGATGTAGAATTATCGAAATGAGGAGTGACTGGAGTAGGGCTGGACTCAGGTGTGTTGGTCACAGTCACACTGGTGTTCTCAGTTTCGGCCTCCGATGCTTGGGACGAGACGAAGGAATGTCGACTGCTTTCCCGTAAAGTATCTGCGGAAAGAAGGGTGGAGGTGGCGGTTGAAACCGATGATCCTGCTGACGCTGGACTTTGGTGGTTGTATGAAGCAGCAGGGATGATTGGCGGTGGAGGCTCTTGAAGTACATCACTTCTCTCGGGGCTGACAATGGATATGGTGCTGTCGGGAGACTTTCGCTTGGTAGAGATTATGCTCAGTCTCGCATTTAGCGGAAACGTCGTTGCTAGCGGGGATGTCGCCGGACTGGCTGTTCGACTCTGGGTGGGACTGGTCAATCGACTCCCTGCCCGACTTCCCCTTGGGCTTGAAAGCGAAGATCCAACACCGGACCGTAGAGACCCATTCATCTTCTCCCTGTGCACTGAGAAACGATGGACCGGTCGTTCTTCATTCTTTTGATCTTCGCTACTGCGACATCCTGGCTCCGGTTCGCGTTTCCGTCCTGAGAGATCACCAATCGCCTTTCGCATCGCCTTCAACCACAGATCCATTTCTTCCGGGCTCTCAAGCACCAACAGAAACAAAGAGGTACTCCGAGTTTTTCCATGGGCGCGAGATCCGAGTCGCCTAAAGAATCCGCGTACCTTGTCGTCATTTGCAGATGTTGACAGGCCTGGTGTATTCCTTCCGCTTTGATCAACGCGCTCGCAAATCTGTAGAACCCAATGTCGCCCTGGAATCAAATCACTGGCAAATGCGGCAGACTGCGGTCCCAGTCGAAGAATTTTCTCCGGTTTCCGGTCGCTAGGTCCGCTTCCGGCATATTGAAGTACATAACCCGCGGTAACCAGAACAAAGATCTTGTCATCCAGCCGAACGAAGGAATCTTTGGTAACGGTGGTGGACAATCGCTTCGAGCCATTCCGGAGGCTGCCAGCATCAGAAGCTCCATCCCCATTGAGATCGAGACTGCTAGTTCCGAAGCTCGTCAAGCTATCGACACGATTTTGGAGGAGGCTATACTGCCGCCGATGAGCTTGACCTCGGACGAGGCTTTCAGCAGAAGAGGAAGGGGTTGGGATCTTGGCATGCTTAATGGATTGCGGGTACGCTTGGAAGAGTGGTGGTGGTTCCCAATCGGCCATCGGACGGGTTAGGCAGACTGTGGGAGGATCGAGGTGCCGTTGAGAAGTGGTCCGGGATTGAACCCGTTGCCCAACGAATGAATCTGAAGTAATGGAGGGTGAGGTCGAAACTCTTAGGTTCTGTGGTGATTGAGGGCGTGCATTGGTGTGAGCCGCGGAATTGAACACCAGTGGTTGGGTCGAGGTCGCGGGCGTGTTGCTAATGTTGTCCGGTTGCGATTTCGAGGGCACCGTCGGATGATCCAGACGAGGTTGTACACGAGGGGTCGTCACTGGCGGCTTGGGTTTGGGTTTGGGAATCTCAATGACGGGAGCGAGTCCGGTCTCATGATATCCGCGAGACCTTTCGACCTTTGGTTTGGAGAAGAGATCGAATAATGACATCTTACTTTGACGTCGCTCCGGTTTGGAGGTCGTCGGTGGAGCCATCGTCGATGTTGCAGGTTGACCATTGCTTGGCTTTTGTGATATATTTGATTGCTGCTCAGTGCGTTGGAGCCTCGCCGTCGGCTCCGACCTCAAGTCGGTGGTGGTGGCGTTGGACTTGGAAAACGGCCATCGTGGTGACTCGGTCGGTTCATTGGCGAAGGCGAGTTTCTTCCTCGTCCGCCTGAAGATACTCTCGTCTTCGATGCCCATGTCGTACGCCTGCCACGTTGGGACTCATAGGATGCAGAGTCCAAAGGTTTCCCGAGGCGACAAATGGTGTATAAGCAGCCAGGGAATGAATAGATGCCTCGTGTTAAGTTCGGTCGTGTTGGAATCGCAAGGATGCAAGGAGGAGTATCCCAGACGTTGAATTGGACCGAGCACCAGGTAGAGAGGGCGATATATTGAATCGGAGAACGGTTGTATAGGGAATACTGCAGCCCGCCCATGCGATTGGGATTCAATGGAATGATCCGAAATTGAAGTAAGAACGAATAGAGGATCAAAACTGATCGACAAGGACGAGACAAGTCGCTGGAGTGCTGAAGTTGGGGGTCGCCTAACGGTCGCGAAAGCCCATACCCGCGGCGCGCTTGGTGGCAGCGTAGCGTGGTGGAAGGCTGTAGGAGGTTTAATTAAAGATAAGATTGGGGTGGAGAGGCAGGATAAAGAGGGGTTGCGGCACAGTGGAGATGACGACGGGAACCATAACAAAAACCATCCATTCAATAGACTAAACACTTGAGACTTAGAGTAGACGAGAGTAGAGAGTGTAAGGTGAGGGCTCAAAGGCAAGATCTTAATTGGGTTGCTACAACGGTGAGGAACGGTTATGGTGGCAGGTGACTGCGAGACTCATGGATGGAGATTGAAGCAAACTGGCACGGTCGATGAGAGGCGGAGGAATTGAGGAGGACGATGATAGAAGGTTTCAGGCTGAGTGGTGTCCGTGATGGTTCGAATCCATGCGAGGGGAGACGTGGAAAAGTCGCGGAACAGACGTGGAAAAGGGGGGATCGTGCGGCAGATCCGCAGGAGGCGCGACTCGACGTGCCTGCCCTGAGTAGCGACTAGCGACTAGTAGTGAGTGCCCCGCCCCCCCCAGCAAGTGGCACTCCCCCCCTAGTAGCCCGGCTGCACCTGCCCGTGCTTGCGGGATTACGGGCCTCTCGCTGCTGGGTGGCCAGCCAGAAGGCTGAATGGCTGCCTGAAACGCAATCAAGGCACCAACCGCGTTGGTTCCTTGCATGGAAAAGAGCTTGAATTGATTTTTGAAACCACCCGATCGGCCCCTGAGCTCTGAACATACTTTCGCCTCCGGTTACTGCACCTGATATAGATTTTAGTTCACACTCCAGTGAAACTAAAAGCATAAACGACGCTGATACTGGCCCTCCGCTTCTCTCACATGTATCTTGAGTTCTTGACTTGAAATCTCTTCGTCTCGTCAGCGACTTTGCAGCCCGCCTAACTAACTCGCCCACGGTCACTTTTCGCTATTACTGACTACTCCTACCAGCTCAGGGGTGCCGAGCGCACCATCTGCCCTCTGCATCCTAGCCGTTGACACCACCCATCTCCCCGGGTCTGCACCATCGCCCAATCCGTCCAAGCCGCGCGCCCATCACTGCCCGTTCCTGACTGGGCCTGACTCTCGGGCTCGTCCCAATCCGAGCCTGGTCGCTGCCGATGAAAATGTAAATATGAATCGCGAGTCATCCACCCGGTCGATACTCGATTGCCCATCGCATTATTCCACTGCGTTGGAGCGGCGCGAACTATGAAGGGAAAGTTCACCGCGGATGGGCGTGGGATTGGGCCCAGTCACCAAGCGTTCGGGAGCTTCCAGGCTAGGGAGGTTACTGCCGGATCCGATGGGGGTGCGGCAGTGCCCAGAGCCCAATCGCCGCGATTTTCGTTGAGCGCGGGAGACAGATCACAGATCAACAGACCCATCGCCATCCAGATTCCAGCCATCGCTGATCGGGTTCGGTGTGACGAGAATGTGATGGGCCATCCATTGTTACACGGCATGAACGGCAACAAAATGCGTCGGCGCTTCGAGCGCCATTTGCGAGAAAAGCAATTATTGTCGGTTGCGCCTCGTTCTCGGAGAATTGGAGTCGGTTCAGCAGTCAGAAGGCGCATGAGCCGCGCATCAGTCCCTTCATCAGGTGATCCGTTCCAAGTTCCAACGGTTTTGCCTTTATGTTTTGAGATGAGGTGAGACTCCGAATCGCTGGCTGCTGTTAGATATGGAATATGGATTGAGGTCTTACCCGATACGCATGGTTAATTGTCCCTGTACGACCAAAACAACAATGGACACTTCGTTGCGCCATTAAACATGTGTGCAGTGGGACAAGGTCGTGTAATTAACCATTGAATTGGAATTTGCAGGTGTAATGTTATGCCATTGTCCTAAATCGACCAGACCTCTTCGAAGACTTGGCCAAAGCCATGAAAAATTGTCCACGATACTCGATTCCAATCCACACGGCTATCCCTTTAGATCAGATGCAGCATGCGTCGGCGATCAGCAGAATCTCAAGCTTACGAGCCAGCCATGCGAATCCAATTCGATTTTGGCTCGACTTCCAGCTCCTTTGGAAAGCGATTGAGAGCAAAGATCCGTTTATCCAGACACATCTACATCCAGAACGAAATGCGCCAAATGGCCAAACTTCCGGATCTAGTAAAGCTTCACACGCGATACGCGAAATCAGCTATATCACTTCCTAACGATCACGAGGTAATTGCTCAACCGTCCCTTTAAAAGCTGGGTTCCTATTCCCTCCAAGTTTCTTCGCCTGCTATTTCTCGATATCCTGGAAGGTTCGTGCCTGATTTTCCTTTTCGCCGAAGCGGTTCCAATTGAGGAATGTCATCCCCGTCCACTCGGTCCATGGATTCCAGCAACGCCAAATTTTCCGTCCCGTGCCACTCTTTCATGAGTCGCGTGTTGCCTACCCTCGGAATGTACCCGGTGACGGCATCAAAGTAGCTGCCGATCGTGATGAGGGCAGAGGCAATCAGCACCACGAAGGTACCCAAGGCGCTCAAGGATGAGTGAGCGGCGGAGTGGAACTTAATTTGTCCGCAGAACACCTTCGAAGCCCGTCCCGTCCCACGTATTGAAGGAAAGTGTGGTGTTTAGGTTGGCCGGCTTCTCGATAGAATTGAACACTTCCAATTGCAGGTTCGCAAGCGCCACGGAGAACCAGTATTTGAGCTCAACCTTCCACTGCTCAGGATCCAGCTTCATCTGGGTATCCTCTTTCAGGTACCGAGCGGCTTGCTAAACGGACCCAGCTGGGCGCCCGGCAATACTGTACGGGATCGAGGTATGGCCAAGAAGAAAGGTCACTAAACTGGTTGCATAGATCGCCTCAGTGCCCTCTTTCGGCTTGCCTTCCAACAAGAGCTCCCCTAATATGTTTTGCATCCTTCGCTTCGTGTTGAGACCAGCCCAGGGACTGCATTGTCCGGTGATGGAGCTGCAGAACTGGGCGGTTTCGTGGCATGCGATGATGTTCAGAAAATGGTCCATCTTATATGCCGTGTAATCAGGTGGGATCCCGCCAGAACTTTTGCTAACCTCAGCAACCTCATGGGCGGCGAAAACCGGATCATCGGACGGATGCATGAATTGAACCCCAGAGCCTCTTAACAATGTTAGGCTTGTATCGCTATCGTTGGTGTGAGAGAAGAACGGTGGTTTCCAAGCGTATTTAGGTGAGGTCGGTGTGTAAAAAGAATGGAGATCGTAGCCGTAACTGGAACGTTCGGGTTGAAAAATATATTTGCCACCATCACCGGGCTCTGAACTATTATAGAATTCATATTCTCTGACAGTTGCTTGCGAACCCAAGTGCTCGTATCCTTGATCCTGGTTTGTATAAACTCTTCCTAGGAAGGGTTCGTCGGACATTGGAGCACACGTACTCTTCCGACGAACAAATAATTCTTTTGCCTGTCTGAAGTTGATACCTAGATCTTGAAGGGATATGTTGCCAGAGTCAAACACAACTGCGGAGTTCGGCCCATTCAAACAGGCCCCAGCTTGAAATGGGCAATCGGCATCGTGCTTCACCGTAAATGGTATCGATCGGGTAGCCAGTTTGCCGCAGTCGAGGATGCCTCGCGACGATCCTTGGCTGTAGCAGTTGCGCACGTAGTTGTGGGCCTCTTCACTCTTGGTGAACTGGACTTCGTAAGCGTTGGCAAGCAGTGAGGGAAGGTCAGGCGAATCGTTTTCGACGGCTATATGCTGCCATTGGCCGCAAGTGGCTGTGTTCTTGGAGATCACCGTCCTTCTGGCACTAAAGACTTGTGAAGTCAACACTCCGGCAGCGATGAATGCAGCGAAATGAGCGAGCATAACGGCACTCAAAACGATGGGTTTCCAAGGGATCCTGTGAATGTGTTCCGACATCTTTCTCTGTGCCCATACCAGGCGAAGGATGCCTAGCAAGGCGCTTCCAGCGGTCTCCGAGTTCCGTAAAATGACCTGCTCTTGTTTTCCCAAACGGGCTTTGATTGTTGTGTCCGACTCCATCGGCCGAGCAAATCGATGAAGGAAGAAACGGCAGATGGCCCAGCTCCGGTTCGCGGTCAAGCCCACGACGGTCGCCAGAACAGCCATCACCACTACGGAATCCCGACTGCGCAGCGTTATTGTTGCCCCAGACCAGCCATCGTGGTCGTGATTGAACCAGAAACCAAGTCGAACGGCGCTCGCTCCTGCAACTGGCAAGCCATGAGAAGCCATTCCGAATTCGCACGACGATTTCCAAATCGTGCGTTCGCAGCCAAAGGAGTCACGCTGTCAAGAAGCTGAGATACGGCTACCACCAGTGGCCAGCGTGAGCAATTCTAGAATAATAAATACCCTCATACTGAATGTTTCTTAGGAATTCTCAGGACACACTATCTCAGTTGGCGGAGCCTGATGGTGGAGGTCATTAGGGGCGTCCTTTAAGGCTGTAGTCCAGGATCCTGCGGAAGCGTCTGATCATCACTGATATCGATGTCTGTGGCGCTCTGTATCCTTGGAAAACCCCGGGAAACGCTGTTGCTAAACCATTTCTGGAGTACCCGAGTGTAGATCGAGCATGGTATGTTCAAATTTACGAGAACGTGAGTAGCCACTTGGCGCAGTTTGGGCAAATAGGATAGCTAAGTTAGGTGCATACATAGTACTACATACTAATCGACGGTGGGTCATGGTTGATGGTAATTGGTGGTTCGAAAAGAGTTAATAATAATATTGGGCCATCGATTTTCTATACTACGTATGCAACCAGGCTGGCTAATCGAGGCGTCGCGACTCGCGAGGCCTGCGCGAACCATGGTTAAATATACCATCCGTAGTCCTGTATACTATATAGTGACCAATACCACGGTGGCTAAGGTCATTGAATCCTATAGAATCTGGGTCAGATCCAGAAAATACGGACTACGACGATGAAAGATTGGTAGCATACGACTAAACGGGACTAGCAACACGTGATACTGCGAAATGCGATGCCTTGATCGAGGAACGAGGCGAGGCGAGGCGATGCGCTCAATAAGCGTCGCCTCGATTAGCCAGCCTGTATGCAACCAACGACTGAGTCACGTGCTGGGCATGTCATTATGGTAGAGCGCTGGGAGTAGTTTCTCTTCAAAGTTTCTAAATCCTTAATTTCGTTTGATTTCGTTTGATTTCTCTATTACGGTCTCTATCAAGGTCTCTATCACGGCTTTTCAATGGAGGGACTCGTAGACTCGTCGTTTACCTCCTCTACCTCGTCTGAGGATCAATCTAATTCGTTGATCCTAGATTTTGTGCCCTTCCGGAAATATCATGCCGAAACCCGATCGCCTGAGACATGACCCCTGCATAAACCAACCGTTCTATCTATCAGATGAACCACTCCTATGCTTTATCGCCTCCACTATCTTGATTCTCCTAGTCCTCCCAGATCCCCACTGGCTCCCAAGCCTGATATCGAGCGTATACTAGCCGTATCGGCCTTGAATGGTCGTTGCAGGTATTCCCTACAAGGCTGCGTAAAGGTTGAACTGGTGGTGATTGTACGCGGTTGCGGGAAGGCGTTGAGCCGATTAGCGTACAGATATCTCGACGTGGGAAGAGCGCATGACATGCCGATGATATAGACTGCATGCAGCTCAAACTGGAAGCTCCCAACGAGCGTCTGAGAGTCGAAATCAGAACCATCACCAATATTTAGCGAGCTAGTGCATACAGTGAATAAGAGGCTATCGTCTGGGCGAATGGGTACGTATATGTAGCCAAAAAGCGATCGATCAAATCAAGGGCAAGGATAGGGCAAAATACGATGAAACCAGAGCAGAAAGAACCAGACCCAAGAACAAAATTACAGTAAGGAAAAAGAGCAGAACTAGCAACAACTACAACATGACTGAGAAGGAAGAAAAAAACTAAATAAAGAGACTCTCACCGGCACGAGCACCACCAGAACAACTAGGGGAAGAGGGGAGGTGGGGGAGGGGAGGAGGCGCCGAAACGACCATCCTGCTATGAGAGACTGTCATGTCTCTCGGAATCTTCGCCTTCTTAAACCTCACGGTCCTTACAAATACCTCTTTGAAGAGGTCTTTACGCTTATATTGCGTATATGCGTCATGAGCCGCCATCTCGTCGTAAAATTGCAGCAGCCGCTGCCTAGCATTCTCATCTTTGCCATCCTCAATCCACCGGCGAACCTCGCCCGCCAGATTCGCAAATACGCCTATTATAGTTAGCTAGTTTCGAAACTAGGAGAACTAGGAAAAGCAAGAGAATTAGGTAAAATAGGAGGAGAATCAGAGGACTAGGAGAAATAGGGGAAATAGGAGAAATAGGCGGAGAACCAGAGAATCAAGGGAAATAGGAGGAATTGCAGAATTAAGAGAAAACAGGTGAAACTTACTCCTGCAGTACCACTTCCCAGAAGTAGATGATCCGTCATAATCCAGATATTCATGCATATAGGTGAAAACGTTAAAGAAATTGACCGACGAAAAAACAGACTCCAACTCGATATAGTTGGCAAATTTATCTACTGCAATTAATGCCGCGACTGTATCCTCTTCGATAAGTTGTTCAACGTGATTCTACGCGAAATAAGCCAAAGAACAACTCAGTAAGACGTATAGCTAGCCTTCATGTTCCTGATGGTCTCAAATTTGAAACATTTGGACCAGGCATGAATGAAACCATGCGCCTCTCGCCATTCGACGTCGTCTGCCGTCACAGATCCGTACACGTTCTGGATCAATTTGTCCTCCTCAAAACAGCTGTGGAAAAAGAAATGATTCCATCTTATTGATCTAGACAGCTTCGCAACTCGAGCATCGTTCTCGCTGACGGCTTCGGCGTGCTGATCGCGCTTCGGTCGTACCCGTTTCTTCGGATTGCGGAGGTAGGGTTGGAAATTCTCGGGCTACTTAATGCGTTAGATACTGGACTTCCTATATAATTTATATGAGAAAAGCAGAGTGCGGAGCATACAGGAAGACCTGGCTCGCCCTCTTCAGGTCCAGCTTGGGAACTGGAGAGCCCCAAATCTAGGCCAGCATCATCACCCATCTCATATGTCGATTTCAAGACGTGTCCAGCGGTATGATTAGATTTCATAGAGAAAGCAGCTAGACTTGTAGAAATCAATACATACACTAGAAGGAACACGCCGCCCGATGGCTGTAATATATATGGCTTCAAGTGGATAGAGCTGAGTTGTCCAGGAAAGCGTCGTTGGTAGCTGAGGTTTTGCCTACCAAACCGTTAGTTAACAGTTGGTTAACCAGCCGTTAACAGTTGGTTAACCAGCCGTTAACAGTTGGTTAACCAGCCGTTAACGGACCGTTAGCTAAACAAAACGGTCCAGGAAATTAACCGATAGAGTTCCAAACCGCTGATATATCTAACCGTAGATAGAACGGTAGATTAGGAGAGACGTTGGAAATTTAGGAATGTTTAATAGAGAAACCACTTAGAGACTGTCGATTAGATTTATTAGTTGCAAAGAAAAACGTATATAATTTCGCCTGTTTGTTCGTGAATTAGCCGTCCAAACCCGGATTAGCCTATTCAGCGGTCGATGACCGGATAAAACCCCCCCCGGCCCTGTTGTATGAATGGAGGAGACGTTATCGAATTGCTAGAGAAAAGAAGAAGAGGGAAAGGGCTCTCTCTCTTTCCAGAGTTCTAAATAATTACGCGTTTGCTCATTCAGACACTGGTCTGAGGCCATAAGGCAAATTATTCCTGAGGCCGCCAGGCCACAATCAACACTCTGGTCGTAGAGCCCAAGACTCTTACAGTTAATTATCCGTGCCCCATGACCGCCCCACAACCGGATACTCCGTAATCTGGGGTAAGGCTATGTCCACACGTAACGTTTGCTCCGCCTACACGTCCCGTATTGCTAGACCTACACGTATCCATAAATGGTTTAGCGTATATTTATAGAGGGATTCCTACCACGACCAAGACATCGACATCAAGACGTGAGATTCGCGCAAAATAGGCATAAAAAAGAGTAGATACTAATCAGAGATCGAGCGTCATAAACATCGCCCCTGCTGAGGTCCTCCGTGTATCCCCAGGCACGTCTCCAGTCCCCATTCCAACCCAGGCACCACGTCCACCACGCCCACGCCCCCGCCCACGGGCGGCATCCTCCCGCTCAGCGGCCTCAAACGCCCCAGGTTCGCGCCGCGATGATGTGTCCCGAGGTGCCTGCGATCCAGGCGTAGAGACTACACCAGCCGGCGATACTATCAACACGTTTCGCAGCTCTGGAAGTGGTGGTGGGGGCCTGCCATATCTCCTAGCGACTGCGGGCTCCCGGATAGCCCGGAAGGGGTCCTCTATCGCATCATCCATCTGAGTACGCCTGTACAGCCAATGTGAATCAATCATATTGATAGGGATCTGCCAGTTAGCGTTCCCTTGGAGGTGCTCCTTGATGGTATGACAACAAGGCATGCCCATCGATATACGGAAAGTTCCTGTACAGAGATTTAAAGGAATAGGACTGAGGCGGCGTATGCTCAATTTCGCAAGGAAGATCTGCTTCTCTAAAAGCTCTACAGCCCTCTTAGCCACCCGGTCGATTACCTCATCAGATAACGTGAAATTGTTCCTCCACCGTGTCTGGATGAGGATAGATGCCATCTCGGCAGTAAAGATGGCCTCATTCGCGTTCTTGATAACGTTGTTTAATATCAGGTCTATAGTAACCATCAGATCTCCCGTGCTTGTTAAAACGTGCTTTTTCAGTATAGCATGCGCACTCTCAGCCCACGATGTTGTCCTGATCCCCCAATTGAGCGCTTAATCGGTCCACGCCCGGCCCCATCGTTGTCGCTTCGGATACACGTAATCCGCGAAGTATTCAAGTACCGCGGTCTGCTCGCTGAATGTCTCTTTAATCTTTGTGTAGGCGGCCTCGAAATTGGCGATAGTAACGGTATAAGCAAGCTAGATAGGTAGGAAAAGTGTTAGTCTTAAAAAATGAAATCAGAGGAGCGACATATCAGCTTACCAGTTTGAATTGCTTCAGAAACGCGGTCCGGAGCTCGCTTATTTCGTCCCTTTGTGCGGTAGTAGGAAACAGGACCTCAAGGCGCCTAGGCTTCACGAATTTCTTCGTGATATGGGTGTTGATATTCCTGAAGATATGCCAGAGGCATAGATAAGTCGAAATTGCCGGGAATATACCGTAAACCGCGTTGATCAACGCCTCATCGCTGTCAGTCAGGATAAGACGTACAGAGAGGATTCCCAAGGCGTTTTTAAGCTGTGTCAGCACCCAGATATAATCCTCTTCACTTTCTGACTGAAGGAAGGCAAAAGCTATATCGAAATTCCTCCCCATCGCCGTTACCCCAACAGCGTGGAATAGAGGCATGTTGTACTTGTTCGTCTTGTACGTACAATCCAAGATCAAGGCGTCGTGGTGGTCCTGATAGACCTCAAGAGATCTCCGGTGAGCGAAGAACAGGTGGGTAACGCGGTGGTTCGCGTCAACTTGGTAAGCGCAATCCAGATCTTCCCTGGCGTATAGTTCGCGTAGGATTGCTTGTGTAGCGGACTGACCACCTAACCGATGAAGCTTTTGGCCGTTTCGTCGGTTATAGATATCCTTTATAACGAGATTAGGGCCATCAGACACGCGAAGCAGTGCCATATAGATCTCTTTAGGTGTGCTTCCGGCAAGCGACATCCTATCGCATACTTCCTTTTGCTCTATCGTCATCCGACGATGGCAGGGGTGCGCAATAGTCGAGGCAACGCGGTGGTTGTGATCTAGAGACATCCTATTTATAACCCATAGGCGCGTCTCACGATCTATCTTTAACCGGACCTCCCATTGGCATCCTGTTTTCTTGCTTCCTCTTTTCCTCGATAGGCCAGGTGTTTTAGGAGCGGGCCCCCCACGATCGCATGCAACAATTTTCCGGTTTACCTCTTGACATCCACGGTCTTTGATACTCTTCGGGATGAAGATACCGAAGCTGCGATCGTACGAGAATTGGAGGAGATATTGGTAGACCTCGTGCCAGGAAAGCCACCCGTTTCCTGGTGATTCTGGGCGGTTAGATACGTCAATTTCATCGGTATCTCCAGCGTCCTGGAACTCGTTGATAGCGTGCTCAAAATCAGCGTGTAATAGGGGGTCCGAAGGTATGTCTTCGTCGGTAGAAAGGTCTTGATTCTCATCACTAACTTCATCGTCCGAAGTATCAAATTCCTCATCTTCAGGCCCCTCTGTAGGGGCATCTTCTCCGTCATCTCCACCGAAATCAGATGAATAATCGTACCCAGCGAGGCCGGGTAATTGAGCGAGCGCGAGAGACATGTGATACACGAAATCACGACGTTTCTATGTATAATTCGAGCATTAGGGAGATAGGGAACCTTGGTGGTAGAAATTCCTCTAGAAATCACGCTAAACCATTTATGGATACGTGTAGGTCTAGCAATACGGGACGTGTAGGCGGAGCAAACGTTACGTGTGGACATAGCCTTACCCCAATCTGCCGTCAGATTGTTTAAAAAGAGTAAAAGAGACGACGGCAGGTCGATCACCCAGAATGGTCGGCTTGCCTACCCTGCACGCTTATTTGACTCAACTAACCCGACCCTATCAAAATCGCCTATCACTTCAGCCTTCCATATATTATCCCATAATCGGGTTTTTTGGAGGAAACTTGCTCGGTTGGTAAAAGCCAACGGTGCAAACCGTCTGTATGAATTCTATAGCAATTAACCGGCGGTAGGGGTAGACTTCTTCAGCCCAAACTTTTGAAGAAGTCTATAAAGAAGTCTATCAGCAAAGTTTCATGGTCAGGATTTCCTCCCTACTCTAAATCCGAAGAAATCTACTAACGGTTCCAGCGACCATGTTACCGTAGGCATCCGGACTCGTTAGATAACTAAAAATGCATTCAGCTGCTCGTTAATTCGTTCCATCTCCCGCCTAATCCGTTCGACCTCATCATCGACACGTCCCCGAAACTCGGGATCTCTGTCTCCTTCCAACGCTGCATGTCCATCTCTCAACATACTCAGGACAGTCTGCACTGCCTCCAAATGTGAAATAATGACCTCTTGAACTCTGTTCTCAAGTTCTTCTGCCCACTGGGAAAACTTATCCCTGCAGCACCTGTGGAGCTCCATGAAAAGACCACATGCATGATCACCAAAGCGGGTGTTAATGATATGCTTCCGCCTTGCGTCGCTACCCGTTCCTATCGAATCCGTGAGCGAAGTGAGACAAAGAGTAGTAGACGTAGATGAACAGACCAAGTTCGTTTTTACACTTTTCGTATGACTCTTTCATCAGCTCACCAATGATGGAGGTACGTATTCCAGTGAAAGTCGCCGTTTCGATATGACTAGTCGCTGTTAGTAACTTCAAAGGCTCCTAGAGCCAAACTCGCATACCGAAGCTTCTCTTCGAATAATTCGTGGGTCTGATCTACTTCATCAAGAAGAAGGTTATGTCGATGTTGAAGCGTGACAATCAACGTTTCAACTGTTTCGGATGGGATATCTGCATTGGTAGCTAGACAGTCATAGATTATTAGCGAGTGGCTTCATAAGAGAGGGTTGACTTACATAGCGACTGAATTACACCATCCATCGCCTCTCTAATCAGTTCACCACTCTGATTATTCAGCGATGTGAGACGTTGGCGCAGCATATCCCATGGACTGTCCATACGCGCCACCATTACTGCCATCGCCTCATCATTCCAACATCGACGATAAGGGACAGCTCCGGTAGAATGGTCTCCGTAATTTCGGCAAAAGGCTGTATAGGTACCTTCGACAATATTAGAGTCTAATTTAACCTAACTGATGGAGAGTAGAGTTACTGAAATGCCACTGAAGTTTGTTAGTCTTCAATTGCGCACAATATCATAATTGAGGATACTAACTCCGTTCCAGTCCATACTCGCTTTCCCAGCAGCGCTGCTCCATAGCGGGCTTTGATTTCCTGTGATGATAAGCTCGGAAATACCACTGACTGGAGTAGCTCACGAACTCATGATTTCGGATATATGTTCCTTGAATTCCTGCTTCATCAACTGCGAGGTTTTTCTCAAGCTAGAGCCTGGCATTGAGAGCTTCTACGGATATCGCATTAGCCAACATGCGGCGCTCAGAGTCACGCGGTGTACCTACTTCTTGGAGTTCCCTGTCGACTTCATCGAGCATGTTCCGAATGGTTGCTCTTCTTTCAGCGCCGATTTTTTGCGTACCGGATTGAACCCATATCTTGATTGAACCCAGTAATACTGGAATCTCTTTTTCCATGAACTCTTTTGCTGCACGTAGCTGGCTTTGCGCAACAATGGAGATGCAATGCCTCCTGACCATGGGGATGCCGCTTAAGTCCATATATGGCTGGGCCTTTTCGCGCGATTTTCCGCGATACGTCCAGTAGTCCTTGCTGCTTACACAAAAGACTTTTTGCTCGATGCTAGGAAACTCTTCATGCTGTTGTGTAGCCAGCTTTCCCTTGACGTCGAGGTTTCGGGTTACCATGAGATGCGATTTAAGTCTAGCGTGACGTTCAGTTCGTACTTATCCAAGCCTCTTCAATTCGACACTTACTTCAACTCGAGACGCTCCTTTTCTGCCCTGGTAGGAGAAACATATGTGAGTATAATCTTAGATGTTGAGCAATAGGAGACTTACTCCAGGGATTTCTTCTCGGTGTTGAGCTGATTCAATTCTGGCACGTCTCCAACGGATATTCCATTGGGCTTGCCTTCAATATCTTTGAGGTCCTGTTTAATATCTCCGATTTGATTAGCAACCTCGTGACGCTCTTCCATCAGCCTTTTGAGAGTCGCTGCATCTCCACCACGCAAGTCGCATGCCGCCTCATCCTCATAAATGACCTGTCTCTATTAGATTCCGATGTCACACACCTGATGGATCGGCTGGAGGAAATCCAGAGGGATTGACAAGACGTACCTCGGATTGAGTACAAATGATCCCGGTATTCCTTACGTTAGCTCTTTTGGCAAGCTGGAGTACATCCTGCACACCCTGATCCGACACAGCACGACGAATTTCGCAAATGGCGAAGATCTCATCGCAACTCCGCACGTAAGTCTCAGTGATCTTCACTCGAGCGGAGTTGGTGTCTTTTAGTCCTAATAATAAGATTAGTATACCTCCAAGCACCACCATCCGTCCAGTTTCTAGAGTACTACTCACCGGGAAGATCAGCTAAGACGAGACCTTGACTCAGTATGTATGCTTTCAAATAGATGCTATTGTCGTCAGCTCTAACAAAAGCATTAATGAAGATCAATTTTGTGACGAACCTAATCTTGCGAATGAATGGCCACACTACTCCCCGATCGGGGTTAGAGCTCGAAATAAACTTCTTCAATTGCATGGAGCATTCTTTAGGAGTAGGAGATTCATATCTCCTGCGGGCATTGATGTCTCCATCACGCAAGGGCGTATCCAACTTTTTAGCCCAGAGAAGGAGAGTGTTCAGCGCTGTCTCCATATCAACTTCCAAAAGTAATGCTTCACTTTGCCTGAGATGCGGCTCAAAGGCAGCCAGGAAGGTGTCTCGTGCAAGTACAGCGTCGTCCTTAGAATCTTCATCGCGGTGGAGATAATATCGCCGATAACCATTCAACAGTTCGCGGAAATGGTCCGTAATCTCAGCCTCGTTGAAATAGTCTACTACTGCAACGAAGTCATTTCTATTGTGGTAGTGGAACTCGGTAACCACGCATGTGCACGCACCACTGCCGCCCTGTTATCATGTTCAGCTTCATATGTTAGGAAACAATGAACAGGACAAATGTCGGTTACTAACAGTCTTAGCCAGACCGTTCACATCCAACAATGCATTCAGGAGACTACTCTTGCCTGGAAAATGTAAGAACATTTCCCCTTTCGTAGAAGCACGGAATGATACTCACCTACTCCTGAGACTCCAACGAGGCCGACTGTGCGCTTCGCGGGACACTCGAAACCACTTAAGGTTTGTGCCCTCTCATAATGACCTGCGAAAGGAGAGGCCGGCTCGGTATGCAACGACGATTGCCGCAGCACTGATGTCAAATCAGAGACGAGATTCTTTGCCTGGTGATACCCTCGCTGGAAGTCTGGATGATGAAATGGTGCATCTGGAGGTTGTTCGTCCTCGACTCTGTAAGGTTCCTCGTTAACCTGGGCGTTAGATCTCCGTCGTGACCCTGACCGTCGACGCCTCGTGGAGTCAGGGCTCACACTCTGTGGGCTAAGTAAGTGGCGAGGTGGGGTGGGGATTGGGACAGGGGAATTGCGAGACGAACTACTCGACCCAATCCCAAGGTTTTGTATCTCATGTGCAATGCTGCTTGTGAAGGTGAAACGAGCTTGCTGGCTGGGGGATGCAGGGCTTGATTGCCGGGAGGAAACTGGTAGGATCCTTCTTGGACTAGAAATGGTGTTTTCCTGAGGAGGAAACGGCGATGGCGTAGCAGGTCCCCCCAAAGTCAAATTACGAGTACGTTCAGTGAGGCTATCTCCTGTGGAATTTGGTGTAAGGATTCTCGCGCTCGGTGAAGGCGACGATGTAGTAGTGCCTCCATGTTCCACTGAAGGGGGTAAACTTATGGAGAATGAAGGGGCTCGAAAGTGAACGGCGGGGCTGCTAAGAGAGCCAATAATTGATGATGCTTCGCCGTCCCGTTCGATTGAAGGAAGAGCCATGTCTCTGCTAAAAGGTGTTCGAGCAGGCGAGGGAGATGCTCCAAAGATAAATATTTCGGAACTCGGTTTGCGTGGATTGATCGATGGACGACTTGATTGACTCTGGGTTGGGTCGGATGCAGATGATGATGGATTAGAATCCATTACAGCAGTCTGAACGATAAGTCAATTCGGTTTCAATCCCTCGCGCCTTCCACGCCCGTAATTACTCGCCTCACTATTCCTAACAGGACCCTGATGTGTAGTTTGAACCGAAACTGAATAGACTCGGACTTGGAAGAGCAGTAACTATACGCGTAGGTTGAACCACACCGACACAAGCTGAAAGACAGGTAATTTAGAACACTAAAACCTTCGAGAAAGGCTCTTGATATACTCGTTCCAGCAAATAGTGTGGCTTGGATTGAAACTGGGATGGAACAGATCATTGCGGCACAGCAACCAGCCAGACGACCACATGATATGTAGATGGCCTTTTGGGCGCCAATTGCGGCCCTCGGTTAATAGACTGTGACCCAACCGTTTCATCGTTTATGTCTCGGGAAATTCTATTGCTCTCGGGACTGCTCAGCGAGGATTTGCGTATCAGAAGTGTATCACTAGAGGTATGTATGGTGTTGCCGTGTTGATCGTTTTGGCGTGTCAATCAATCACGGGGCAGGCATTCAGATAGAACATACAACTTACACAATACAACACCTTTGCTGCTGTCACAAAAATACCCTGACTTCCACCTATTTTAGCACATTCCAGTGCGACATCTACTTCTTACACAATACATGCAGCATCTCACCACCTCCGTCAGGTAACATATTGCTTCAGTGATTGATTAACATGCCTAAAAGATCAACAAACCCTTACAAACCAGAGGTTCACCTCAGCTTTCTGCGGCACTTGCTCTAAGATCGGTGTTATGTGCAAACCAGAATCATCTACAATCTCTTTTTTCATGTCATCAACCGACGTTGTCGTGTGATGATGCACCCCTCATCCTACCTCGTCCTTGAAAGTCTCTCGAGTGTAACGGATCACAATCTTGAATGGTGATTCCGGTGGTAACGTTATGAATTTAGCTACAGAAGAAGGGAGAAGTTCCCAGTGTGCGTCCGGAATGATCTATGAAGCCTCACATCGTGAGGCTGCCTCAGGCCGCAAGGCCAACTATCCACAGTCTGGGCCGACAGCCCAAGACTATGACATCGAGCGATGATAAGTCCTGTCTGAAGACGAGGAAGAGATCGAGCTTCCGATCCCCTTTTTCGAAGCGCGTCGCTAGGCTGACCTTCGCGGTAATTATGCTCGTAATTGATTAGCCGGTTCTAGGGCGCAGACTAGACGAATTCGGATGTGGGTCCTATAGAGAAGGTATTATAAATGAACTTCAATGCATTGACATCATAGTAGCGGGATATCCTTAGGATATCAATGATTCTAACTAGTCATTAGAAATTAATTTACTGTCGTTATTATGGTAAGGCTTCAACACAGTTGCTAACTATCACATGCGAATACGTGCGAATCCTAGCTGCCCTAGGCTTGACCTTGCCGCAATATTCAATCCGTAATGTTTTATCTCATGGATTTTAAAGCCTTAACTTAATCTTACGCAAGCCACATATAATCCTACGGCCCGTTCCGCGGGTCCGTCTTATATATCTCTGTTAACACTGCTAGACAAAACAGCCGTCAGAATCCAATCACGTCAGGTCTTGGTGGAGTCACTAGGATAAAGAAACGGATCAAAGAAGACTCGAACCGGCAACGATAACAAAGGATTACATCATCGCTAATCACGCCATACAGTCCAAATACAACGTAAGATTAGGAAGTCTTTATATGATGACGTAAACAAAGAAGGCAATAAAAGACATAAGGAATGTAACGTATTGCCGGATGCAGCAATACGGTCAGATATATAAGGAGGGAAGATCCTTTAGATCTTGCTCTTATTACCTCAGTTCAGATCGATAACTTAGGCCCTTTAGTACAGTCTATCTTACTATTGTTCTTTTATTAGAATTACCTTATTGGTTCCTGTCGTGGCCTACCACTGCTGCTAAAAGAGATTGAGCCTCTTCTATTAAGATATTCCAATCCCAATAATCTCCATGTTCGAACCGTTGGGGAGATTCCGAATCCCTGGATTCACCCCTGCTCGTTGGGCGGCTAAACCGGGTCGGTCAATGTTGTTCCTGGACATCTTAAGTTTCATACCCCTTTTTTCTTGCATCTGAACAGTAACCCGACATATTTTAAAGTGATTAACGTTATCAACTACCTGGGCGCTGATGGCGCCACCCGAAGTATATTTACCCGTACCATGGCCCTGAAGTAATTTGCAGGTGCGCTACTGCAGGGGTATGAGTCAAGATATGAACCGGTGTATTTTCCCTTAACGTTTTCCTTATTCAATTGCGTGGGACACGGTGAGGGCAATGGTCACCCCCACTGCCAGGCTGAAACAAAGTGTAGGGTTATAAAGTGGAATTTATCAAATGCTCCTGGATAATAGAGATCGATCTGGACGTGCGAAATGCTGAGAGCGCTAGAGATGAGAACAGAGAAAAGGGAATGACAGCGATCCATCGAGCGACGGGCTTCGATCTTGTTTATTATGTGAGAAAACAGAGAGAGACCTCGCAGCGAAGCCATAGCGTTTGACACCATCATGCTTCCAAAATTAGCGTAGAGGCATGGAAGTTCTGAAGGTCAAGAAAACCGAGAGTTGGAACCCCCAGGTGTTTTGAGGACTGAGGAGGACTGCATGGAGCAAGGATCCTGCGCTGTGAGTGGATGTGAGGCCTTGGCACAACGGCAGGGAGTTTTGGGGCACTGCCGGTAACGAGACAGGAGCGTTTTGCCTAGGCGGAAAACCCTCTGAAAACGGCGTCAGAAACCGCCGTTTTTGGATGCAAGTTCGGTAGCACATAACGTTACTACGTAATATAGTTATGTGAGTCAGAGTGCTAACTAAGGCAACCTTTGGTTGAGTACCCCCCCGCGCCTTATTGGTACAAGAGAGATTTATTGGCTTTGAGGCCTCAGGCTTCAAGTCTGGATTTCCGGCCTCTCATGGGTATTGGCGGATTTATGTTCATGCCTTAGAGCTTAAGGCACAACTGGGGTGATGGCCGTCTGATGTGTCTGGAGTGGAGTCTGGACTTCAGACAATCGAACACTCGTCGACCGTCCAGAGAGCAATGGAACTGTCGGCATTCCTTTGACATCCCGCAACCGTCCAACAAGTCACGACATCTCTCGCTACTGAACTTCCCACCACTCATTCAGCCACCCTCGCCAAACGGGTTAGATCCGTTCTTACTGCTTGCGGGCGCATTTAAACGCACCTAACCGCTGCGTCCCCTACGTCGTTCGTCGCCCAAGCCCCACCATGCCAGACGTCAATTCACTTCCCACTTCTCCTCCGACCACCACATCTACCGCACCACAACCCGCTGCATCATCTAACAGAACTACCTCCATAGGAACAGCGATGTCGCATTCTCCTACCCAATCGCCGTCCGGAAACTCTCCGTCCTCACATTCCCTTGCCGCCGCTGCCACCATGAACGCGGGCATCCAAACCGATGAAGCCCGGCGCTCAACGCCCAGTTCACCCCTCACCCACAGCATTCGCAATCGTGGCATCGAGCGACGAAGAAGCGGAGTGCGTATGAACCTGAATCTGAACGATCCTGCTATTCCAGGTCCGGGAGAGATGGCCGTCACCCCAGGAAGCGTCTCGCGACATGGCAGCATCGGAGGGGGATATACCGGGTTCGATCACCATCGGGCGCCTAGCCTGGGCGAGCTACATCAAGAGCTAGAGAACGAGCAGGAAGCGCAAGTGGTACCATATATTCTGTTGCTCAAGGTCGTTCGCACGATTGACATCTGACTAGAACCGACTCCTCGCCCACATCCGCCAACAGCAAGCCCAAATCGCCACGCTTCAATCCTCCACTACCTCCACTGGCGCCGCCATCGATGACAGCACCCCGACCTCCGAACGCAGCATGTCCCTCCCGCAACCCGCCCTGTCCACGCAGCCCACCCCCGCGATCGACACCCCACACGGACGAGGACGCGGCAGCCTCCACCGCTCCACCTCCCGTCCGCGCTCTCCATTCAATCATCCCGCTTCCGGCGCACGCAGCCGCACCAGTTCCTACGGCGGATACAATCGAACGCCCTCCATCAGCAGCAGCCCGCGTTTACGTCCCACGAGCGTCGTAGATGAGGGCTTAGGGATCATCGGGGGGCTGGAGAGGGACCGAGAGCGGGACGAGGCGGCGTTTTACCAGGCGGAGACGCAGAATTTGACGCGGGAGAACCAGATGCTGAAGTTGCGGATTCGAGAACTTGGTGAGTACTGCCCTTGGGCATGTTTTCCGTACACATGCTGATCGGATGGATAGAGCGGCAATTGAATGACTCGAGCTTGACGGGCTCCGTTGCGCATTCGCCATCGATACCGTCGCAGTTACATTCGAGTTTGGAGGAGGCGGAGGAGCGGAAAGAGGAGCCGAAGCCTGATGCGTCGGGACCCACGACGGCTGCCGAGTAAACGAAGATGGTTCCCTAATTGCGGATTCTCTACTTTTGTTACACATGCATCGCAAAGGCGCTTTAAGTTGCTAAGCATTTTTGGGAATGGGTTGGGTTTGGGTATATCAAGGTTATGGAGCTCCGGGTATGGTGCTTGACTCTCATATCAATATCAAGGAAACGTAAAGTTCGTGGCTTTACTCCTAATTTTGGTACGATGCAGCCTCTAACGGCGAAATATGTTACACGTAATAGGACATCTCCATCTCCTATGCACTCCAGGTTTTGGCTGTACTCCCTGCTCATGTCGACCATCTTCACAGAACTGCGTCACCATCCGCCTTTTCCCTGGATTTCCACATGTTTTGCATCCGAGCTGTCTACACCTCAAGTGCAGTCATCAACTCCTAGCAGCGCTGAATAAGGCCTTGTAGTAACTTTCGACCTTGCTTCGCTGGACAGATCTTTATGAATTGCAATACCGCGTGCTATCACCATTCGTTTATAGGATATCATCTCAATCGTCTCTCAGGGTGTCAACTGCCGCCTTTACCACATATTTTTTATCCACCCCATGCCAACTGGCCCCGTGTGCGTCCCCCGCTGGAGACCCGTCTACTCTCATCACCAGTCGTCGAATCCACGCTATCCGAACTCCGATGGAAGTTCAACGTACTATCATTTACCATAAAATTCCTTGCTCTTATGAAGTCGGGTACGCTACGGACGTCGCAGTTTCGGCGTATGTTGACTGGTATGGTGAGGATTCAACACGGAAATTGGTCCTAAATCTCGGGGTTGAGGGAGATTAAGTACTGGCAGGACCGCGACCTTTTGCCCAGCGCCACTCGAGCCTCCCGCACCTCATATAGATAAATTCAGTAAGCAATCTCGCGTCTGTTCTCCGTCCTTCTCGTCAGTCATCACACCTCACCGACCGCGCACCATGGCCAGAGAATATGGACTATTCATTGTCCATAGCATCGGGTAGGTGACAGTTTACAGTAGGTTGAACAAAAGACAATCCCCGGCCATGTCACGCGCCAGCTGGCTGGATCGACATCAGATCCTTGGCCACGACATTCCACCTCTTCGGTCTGGTGCCACCAACATAACCTGTTGCATCAGCAGGATAAAATGAGTGCTGGGTAGTTGTCCTTTCCTTTCCGTGGCTTGGAAGTTTATTACGTTTATGGGAGTGCGAAGTCATGAATATGTTCTTGCTATTCCGCTAGACGACTCTACAGAGAGAGTGTTCAAGTACCTCCGTCAATGCGCCATTGCATCATCGGCATGTGGCATCTAGACGTCTCCTTTATTCGAGATACGATATTAATCGACCTCCGACGACAATGGTGGACATGTCATCGTCAAGCCCGCCAAACATAGCGGAGTCTAAACCACGAGAGCTGGCGCCAGGACTGCTAGCGGAGCTGCGCAGAAGGGAAACAGAGGATGAAAAGAGTCGGAAAAAGCCGTGGTGGAAACTGAAGATGAGGCCATATCAGGACGAAGATGAAGCGTAAGCGTAGCTTTATGCATCGCCCATCCCTTCTTGACATCTATTTCGAACCATGATCACGTCATGGGACACTGTTAACATATTTGACAGCACCTGGTGGTTCGCCTCGACTGCAATTCCGTATGTTTTCTGTTCTTAAGAACACTTGATCAGTCTTGCTGAGCTCGTCCCCAGTCTCATCGCGGCCTCACTAGGACCTCTGGCCAATGTCTTCTCGCTGGCCGCGTTGGTGACGTTTTGGAAAATGTGGATTATAGATCCGACCACCGGCGAAGAGTTGACAGAGTTAACTGGTATACCGATACAAGATCCACGATGGTACGCCTGCATACTCAATCATTTCTTCTTTTGATAGAAGGAAGTGTCTCCCGGCTAATATAGACGTTTCTAGGTGTTATTGGCTGAACGTTGGATCACTGATATGTGGCTTTGTTGGCAATATATTCCTTCTTTTCAACTTTACTCAACGAATCCGATACATTATCGCGCTGCCCGCCACGATTGTTCTATGGTACGTTGCTACTGCTATTGTAAGTTACCCGGTCTGCTCAAATCCATTCTCTTTCGTGCGGCAAAGGGCCTTTCTCATTATATGGCTAGCTTATCGCAATCACGGCGTCCATGAATATCTACTACGAACCTATCCGGCCGCAGCAGACCTACTCGCAAGGGTTCTGGTACGCATTGCTAGCGGCTATCGTATATATGCTTTGTTCTATGCTCCTAATGGTCAATATGCTTGGCTGTTTCCTCGGTCACTACCCTCAGACGTTCCAGTTGAACGATCACCAAAGGACGTTGATCCTGCAAACCATGCTATTTTTCATTTGGCTAGCAGGGGGTGCGGCTATTTTCACCGTCGTTCAGAATACTTACGGCGAAACAGAAAAGGATTGGAACTTTGCTAATGCAGTATGTCACTCAACCACCCGATCCGAATCAACCTAACATCCGACAGCTCTACTATTGTGATGTGACCATCCTCACCGTGGGATTTGGTGACTTAGTTCCTGATAACGACGTTGGTCGAGGTTTAGTATTACCTTATTCCGTTGGCGGCATCATCATGTTGGGTCTAGTCATCTCGTCACTCTCCAAGTTTGCCGGTGAACTAAGTCAGGAAAACGTGGTCAACAGACACATTGAGAAAGAGCGGATCCGAACCTTTGGCCGAACGGTCAGTAACTCAATGCAACTTCATCGCAAAATATCCGAAGTCCCGGCGAGCATGTCAAAGCCTGCGGTCTCGGCACCTTCGGAATCGCATGTCATCAATCCTGCCGCCATTCAAATAGACGATACCCTACCACATCCACTGCACCACCACCGTCCTCTGCCAGGTAAACGGAGGCAAACGATGCTTCATCGCGCCGTCACGAGCAAGCCAAAGCTGCTCATGTTACGAGAAGAGAAAGACCGCTTTGAGGCTATGAGAAAAATCCAGAAATCTACCGTTGTGTTCAAGAGATGGTGGGCTCTTTCCCTTTCCGTCACTGCATTTGGAATATTGTGGTGTGTGGGAGCAGTCATCTTCTGGCAAGCTGAACGCGAAATACAAGGGATGACTTATTTTCAGGCCCTATACTTATGTTATGTATCGCTTTTGACTATCGGCTACGGTGACTTGGCACCGCAGACTTCCGCAGGTCGAGCGTTTTTCGTATTCTGGAGTTTGATCGCCGTTCCGACCATGACTCTGCTCATTAGTGACATGGGTGACACTATCATCCGAGGCTTCAAACAAGGAACTTTCAAAGTGGCAGACTGGACCGTCCTTCCGAAGGCCGATATTGTTCAATCGATACTGGCAATGTTCCCTCGTGTGCGGGACTGGTTCCAAAGGAAAGCGGACGAACGTAACGCACGGAGGCGAATCGACCAAGGTTTCCAGGTGGAAAGCGGAGCGACAAACGGATCCCCCTCCGGCCCAGAAGCTGCCAACGGTCCAAATATTGATGAGCTTGGAAAGCAGGCAGAGAAGGATACGGAAACGCCGCCGAGCGATGTGGAGTTGGCGCGAAAACTCGCAGTTGCCATTCGACGAACAGCCGAACACATGAAGCGGGAGAAAGAGAAGAAGTACTCGTACGAGGAGTGGGTGGATATCATTCGTTTGATACGATTTACCTCCCGGGGTCAAAGCAGGCCTGGAGACCTTGTCGATCCGAGAAGCTCACGGGAGCTGGAGAGAAGAGAAGCGGTCTTGAGGGAGGAAGAGGAGGAGGGCCTGGTTGAGTGGGATTGGATCGGTGAAGACAGTCCAATGATGTCAGGGCAGTCGGAACCGCAGTTTGTCATGGACCGACTGTGTGAAAGTCTGTCAAGATGGATTGGCGCCGTCGATTTTGAGAGGACAGTAAAGGTGAAGGATGCCGAAGGGTCCGAAGAATTTGAAGGCGAGTATGGGGACGAGAGACCAGAACGTTCCAATGGCGGTAATTCAGGTTCTTGCAAGTTTTCTAGGAATCGGGACTTACAACAGGATGGGTCATTTGCAGCCGAAGATACTGACGACAACATTGGGAAATGAATTGCTCATGATACAGGTGTATGATAGTTATGGTATGGGACCATAATCGAACTGCGATTTGCTTCACACTTTCTTAGGGCTACCAGTATCGGTCAAATACCATCTGATCCCACACATCGTGAAGTAACCGTCACCGCAGAGACCCTCCTCACGGGCCGCGGCGAGAATCTTCTCCATCCGTTCCTTGCCTTCGACGCCCACCGTGATGCTGTGAATGCCCTCTTGCTGACCTGGCAAACCCCTAACGAAACCTAACCTCGCATTGGTAAACCCAACCAGATCCCTCACTCGACCAACACCGAACAGTTCCTCCCACTGCCTCGACGCCGCTTCCGCGTCCACGTCTCCTGCCTCCAACCTACAGACCACGCCGACGAGTTTCAGTGCGCTGGCGTTCTTCATCGCTTCCAGGTGCTGCGGATAATTCTTAATCGGCCCCAGCGCATGCCACGGCGAGAATCGCTCCGTCACGGGATTCGGATGTTCCTTGGTGGGAGTATGGGAGTCCAATTCCGGAATTACTCCACCCTTGACGCCCTTCGGGTGATATTGCACTGCCACGCTGTGATCCGAATCGTGGGTCCAGATCACCCGGCCGAGTTTGTTGGATTCAATGTAGTTGCGTCTCGCGCTCGCATCTCCGGTTTGCATGATGATCATGTATCCGCCATCACCGCCACGCTTGTTGATGAGGCGGCCAGCCGTCGTTCCCGGCTGAAATGGAGAGCACACTTCGATTATTTCTCCCCCGAGTGGGAGCAGGAAGTTTTTGAGCCCCCATTTGGCAACCAGGGGGTCTTCATAGATCACATCGACCCCAAAGATCTTGGTCTGTCGTAGACAAGTGGTTAGTGGCCGTTTTGATACCCCTGGCCGAATAAATCTCGCCGGTAAGATACGATAGTATACATACCATAAGTCTCCGCGTTTCATCCAAATTCTTAGCCACCAAAGCGACCTGTCGAAGTCTGGTCGGAGCCACCTTAGAGGTGGAGGCTGGGCCGGCCATTATCGGTACTCAGTATGATCCCACTTCCAAATTCCAGGCTCTTTTGTTGGTAATTATATTGTTTGGCTAATTTTCAATTCAAGTCACCACCGGTGTAATTGAAACTGAATACGGAATAATAATCCCAACTTTTGAAGCCGACTTTCTCATCGCCCTTGGGCAAGAATCGGGATGTCCTCGACCCTCGGCTTGCATCCGGATGGATCCTGGCTGATCCTGAGCTCTCCCCGCACTCCACGGCCCGGACAGGGGGACGGAATGTGAATATCAGGACGAATCGAGGAGACGGTTCCATTCCGAGCCAGTTCCATACCGCAAGTCAAAAGTCATCTCGGACTACTTCTTCGCTGTATTTCTTGTCAATTGCAGTGTTTCGATGGTTGGCAGATGTTAGGCAGCAGGACAACACAAAGCAAACTGGTCCCTGCGACACCCATGTCGAAAGAGTATATCCTCAGGTTAGCATCTAACGTTCCTGCCACGCGATGACGCGAAGCAAGGTTACGGCGAACGAAATAGGGTCGCGTCCTTCAGGCTTCAGCGCGTTACCTTACACCTATGATCCGATTCTCATATGCCCGGTCGGCTGACGCGTTGATCGCCGACTGATTTGACCCGAATCTCAACATACATTGGGGAATCCACGATTGTGATCGGTACTAACATGTCCGTGATGGAGCGATAGACTTGATTTCTTAGATATTCCTGCTTCAATCTCGTCACCGGAACTAAGACCACGTTGCCCCCCCTTCTTCCACACAATTTGGAGACTTGACCGCGGACCCACGAAAGGCATAGCGGGCACGCTTGAATCGAAGCTTGACAAAATAAGGACTTTTGGCAAGGTAGGTCCTGGCCCAGTGACATTAGTGTCAACTAAATTAGCAAATCACTTCTGCTTCAAGTCGTAAGTCGTACCAAGTTATGTCAATTTGATGATGTCTGGTTCGCTTGGCAAGATGGTGTTCTCCTCTGACGTCATCGTGTCAGGACGCGTTTGACATGGTTCAACTATGAAGTACATCTTTAGATTTGCTAGGGACAATTCCCGGTTAGAAATGGATACTATAATTACTTAAATGGGCCATTCCTATGTCTTCACTGTACCGGTATTCAAGAGATCTTTCCCTGCAGAAACGGGCGATGTTCCACTTGAATAAGAAACTGAAGGTCCGCAGACTAACCACTGAACTTTGTCAACCATTGAATTACTCTACGATTTAGATACCACATCACTCCGTACATCATCCAACTATACTAGCTCGAGGAGTAGTCGTGAACCATGGCCTCTCAGATGAAAGAAGAGGTCGATTCAAAGTTGCCAGAGCACCTCCGCCAATCCGAGAAAGAGAAGGAAGGGAAGGATCAGCCCAAGCATTTCCAGAGGGGCGTCAAAGACTCTATCCGCCACCCTTTTCCTCATATCCGTGAAAAGCTCAAAAACACCCACCTTCATGACGCGAAGATCAAGGCGGTTCACACCAGGAATCACCTCGGAAAGTATGCCAACCTCTTCAATCGGAACCATAGACATGATGAAGATCATGAGCAGCGGACAGACGAAAAGCGGAACCACATATCCGAGACGCACCGATTCTCGAGTTTTGCTCCGGAGCGCGAAGGAAACGAAGCGAAGTTTTATGTGGACGGAAGAGACTATTACTGGGCCGTTAGCACCGCGCTGGAACGAGCAACGGAGTGCATATACATCGTGGACTGGTGGATCAGCCCCGAGCTGTTTCTCCGACGCCCCCCAGCGGAGAACCAAGAATGGCGATTGGACGAAATCTTGAAAAGAAGAGCAGAGGCCGGTGTGAAGATCTATATCATGGTCTACAAAGAAGTCGAGCAAGCCCTTTCTTGCCAGAGCACGCATACAAAGCATGCACTGGAGGCTCTCTGTCCAGAAGGAAGCCCCGGATTTGGAAATATTCGCGTGATGAGGCATCCAGACCATAATGTCATGGGGAATGCTGCAGACATGACATTTTACTGGGCACATCACGAAAAGTTCATGGTTATCGACCATTACCTGGCCTTCATCGCTGGACTGGATTTGTGTTTCGGGCGTTGGGATTTGAATCAACATCCGCTGGCGGATCTTCACCCCGCAGGTGCGAAGTACGAAATCTGGCCTGGACAGGACTTCAACAATAACCGGATCTTGGACTTCCATGATGTCCAGGACTGGGAGCAAAATCAAGTCAGCAAGGCCGAGTATGGCAGGATGCCATGGCACGACGTGGGAATGGGCTTGATCGGGCCATGCGTATACGACGTCGCCGAGCATTTCGTGTTGAGATGGAACTTCGTCAAGCGTGATAAGTACAAACGAGACGACAAATATGCCTGGCTAGAGCTTGAGGGCAGGACTGGAGAACATGAGGATTTGATTGCGGTACAACGACCGAAGTATCCAATGGGCGGCTATACCCTACATCCCCCGACTGAAGGAGGACTTGATGGGAAGCTCAGTGACTGGGAAGGACGCGATGGTTCCACAGTCAAAGCCCAGATTGTGCGGTCGAGCGCGGACTGGAGCAGCGGCATCCTTACCGAGCACTCCATACAGAACGCCTACTGCGAACTCATCCGAAACGCACAGCATTTCGTCTACATCGAGAACCAGTTCTTCATCACTGCCACGGGCGAGGGTCAGGATCTGATCATGAACCAGATCGGCCGGGCAATCGTCGACGCTTGCGTCCGCGCCGGAAAAGAAGGACGGAAGTTCCGGGTCATCGTCATCATTCCTGCCGTGCCTGGTTTCGCTGGCGATCTACGTTCGGATGCAGCAAAAGGCACGAGGGCCATTATGGAGTACCAATACAAGTCCATCTGCAGGGGTGAGAATTCCATCTGCGAACAAATCCGAAAAGAGGGCATCGACCCAGGGAACCACATATTCATTTTCAATTTGCGAAGCTATGACCGGGTGAACACGACGCCTGCCGTCCGAAAGCAGGAGGAGAAATCCGGTGTGAAATATCAGGAGGTGCAACGTGCTGAAGCGGAAGAGTTGATGGCACCAGGGGGGCACGGGTTGTCGGATGAGAACAACGGAGCTGTTGGCGGGGATTTCAGCGAAAAGAAAGAGGCAATTGAGGAACGGAAGCAAAAATTCGAGGAGCTAAGAGTGGAGGTTGGCCTGGGGAATGGCGAGGACAAAGACCCGAAAGAAGCAGCTCCCAGTGTCGACACGATTGCGGAAGATGCGATGCTGAGTGGCAGACATGTTTCCGACGAACCGTGGACGGGGGGCGACGAAGAGGGCGAAAAGATGAATTTCATCCAGGAGCAGCTCTACATCCATGGTAAGGTATGCATAGTGGATGATCAGATCGCGTTGATTGGAAGCTCAAACATCAATGATCGGGTAAGTGTTCTCCCACAGTTACTTGTCAGCATATTAATAAGTACAGTCGATGCAAGGGGATAGAGACTCGGAGTTGACCATTGTTATCGAAGACACCAAACCTCTTGAATCCACAATGGACGGCGCCCCTTACACCGCGAGCCATTTTGCTGCAACACTCCGCCGCACTCTGTGGCGTGAGCATCTTGGCCTCCTCCCTCCTCAACCACTCGATGCCTCAGACGACCCCAACGCCGAGCCACCAGGCGACTCGGAGAACCGCATCCTCGACGACGAGCACTGGCAACTCGTTTCCGACCCCCTCGGCGACAAAGTATGGGAGACCTGGTGCCAGCATGCTACGACCAACACCGAGGTGTTCCGCGAAATATTCCACGCCGACCCGGACAATTGCATCCGCAATTTCGAGGACTATGAGAAGTTCCTCCCAGATCCTAAAGATAAGAGCCATGACCACAAGTTTGGGCATCTCATCGATCGGAGTGTGCCGGTGGCGGAGATCAAGAAGCAGCTGGATCGGATCAAGGGACATCTCGTCTGGATGCCGCTGGATTATCTCTGCGAAGTGGAGATGGCCGAACGCGGGTTACATGTGAACGATTTTACAGAAACCATCTACGCCTAATGTATGGCAGAGTGGATGTATTCATATTGTAGGAGTGTAGCGGATATCGGATCGTTTTTGACGAAGCATGACGGAAGAGTTCCACTGAACTTGAAAACTGAACTTGACCGTAGAACATGAGGTACAAGGGAGCTGAAACGTCCATCTGTCGTGGGAAATGTAAATTACTTGGAATGCGTCCATTACGGAGTTCTAGAGGGAGGTAGCAGGAATTCACGATGCGTGAGCGAAGATGCATCAGTAGTCCCAACATAGCGAGCAAGAGATTTAAAGGATTGCGCTTCGTCGTTGCATGAAATTCAACCGAGTGTTATCGTCACTGAACGGGAGAAACAGTTTGAGACAAGAACTTGGCACTTCATTTGATCAGACTACCACCGTATGGAGACAAATTGAAGAAGCTCTTCATCCCAAGCACCATCCAGATTCCACCACGCCATATGCACCACTTCGAAATGGTGCTGTATTCTATCCCCTTATGTTTGTGATTCGTTGAGCGTGACTAGGGATCGTTGGCATCTCTGTTTCGGATTGAACACGACGGACTATAAGATTTGTTAGTCACTGTTGCCTTGCGTGAAACTTCTCATGACATACCAATACCAATGATCTTGATGTCGGCCTGCATCCAATTCCCACAAATGGTTCAGTATCTGGCAACTTGCACAGAAACCATGGAAAATATCCCGCTGTCTTGCACGAGAAGAACACTTCCTCTGAAATGCCCATTATTGCCAGACATTGATTGCTGAACTGCCTCTAAAAAGGTCCTTTTTGAATGAACCTTCAGAAATTTGAGTGTGTGCTAATAGAACTCGATTCTCTGCTCAACCTGGACTCTCTTCGAAGCTAAAGCATCCAAAATCGCGCTCAGGGTACCGATCTCTCTCCAAGATTTCCCAGGCCGTTCCGAGATCTTCCTCACCGAGGCTGCAATCCCATCCTTCGGCCGGCGGGACGAGAGCAACCATCGTGCACGCTGCAGAATGGTCGTGGAGCCATGGGATTTCCAAAAGCACATCAAGTGTCACAGTGCCCTCGAGTTGCTCATAAATTCAACACGCACTTCGTCTTCATCATTAGGTGTTCAGTTAAAACCCTCGAAGCGACCAAAATCCCACAAAGAATGCGTTGCATGCTTCCTGATTGCTACAATCAGCCAGAGGAGACACGCCGAAAAAACGATGTCAAATGTCCCGAGCCGCGCAAGCACGGCTAGCCCATAATAGAGGAAGACAGGTGACGAATCAAAGACTTATAGTAATTCATTAGCTTAGGATGACCAGTCAATTTATTCAGAATTTTGGCGAGACCCCAATCCAACGCGAAGACACTGGTATCAAAACCCCCATAGGAGCACCTTCTGAGTACTGGGACCGCGGGGATCATCTCGAGGAGCGAACAACATCCGCACTCTTCCGAGTTGCGCTTCGCCTGGCGCCGTGAGGCACGCGGGTGCGAAGGGTCGATTGGTGGTCCACTCCAGCCCAACCGACGAAGCAGCTTCAACGAGGGATTCTGCATGTTTCGACGCAGGTGGATCAAACCACCCTTTTTACGCAGTCAGAAAGAACAGATGCCTCTAAATCATAAAACTTTGGTGGAGACTCTGCTCGACGAGGGACGATAGGCAATGAATTTTAGACAGCCGATCCTAATCGGCTGATGAGATTCCTGAAGCCCAATCCGCTCGAAGGCCTGGATCTCTCAAACTTTGAGAGCTTTTGAGAACCTTCGCCAGGTGGGGGCAAGGAAGTTCATGTTTGTCGATGCATAGTCCCACCATTGGAAGAATTCTCGAATGCAAGTACCTTCATCGGGCCTCCAGCCGCCCACGAAGTTGATGTTTGTCGTGTCGTCACTGGGGCCCTGTATCCAGTATTGTCCTCTAGGAGGAACTTGTGGTTTGAGAAATCGAGATCAATGTTGCCCGAGAGTACTGCCTCTTTTAGAACCAACATTTATGACCCAACAATAGGTATTGAGAACAGATTGAGATCGGTCGGTACAGAAGTTGCGGAGCATTGCTTCTTGTGGTGACAATATTGTGATCCAAAGGGCGATCTGTTATTGCAATCACTGCCGGTGTAGAACTTGCGTTGAGAGGTTCCTTTCCGACAATTTGTGATCCAACGGGAAGTATGCATCTGTCCTCGGAATCACTGCCGATGCGGAACTTTCATTGAGAGGTTCCTGCCCGACAATTCGTGATCCAACGAAGTATTTGTGTTCGGAAGTTGTGATTGTTGCAGTCACAATGTTGTGTGACCGAAGACGACCACGGAGCCTTCCCAGCATTGACTTGCAACGTGAACAGCTGACCTCGACAATCCGTGTCGGTACAGAGCTGGCCGCTCCAGGCCTGATCCGGCGACATCCTGTCAGGTACTGTGCATCACGCAGCAGTGCAACACTTCGAGGCTGGACAGCTTCTTCCAAGCCAGTCCGTCATGAGCAAAGGGAGACCTCATCATAAGGCAGTAGCACAGCCAAGTCGGGTCTCGGCAAAACCCCGACAGCCAGCCAAAGCCAAACTTCCAGTCAACATTCACACAAGAGAACTGGACAAGAGGGAGCGCCCTCAGATCGCCTTGCCAAAGTTCCCTATTTCTAAGTCTCATTGGAAGGATTGATCTGTGCAACCCCGTCACAAACACCGACGACGAGTCTCTTGATGCGATACGCAACCAGGGTAGAATGTCATGACACTCTCGGTGGACAGGCAACACGGAGATACCGTGATGACAGGGCTTCCAATATGCGCAATCAAGTCTCTCAAAGTCGGTGAAAGTGAGGTGGAGGAGGGAATGCCTGAAGTTGGAGGAATGGGAGGGGAACGTGTATTTAAAGGTGTGGTATGTGTCACATGCGCCACCTCTCCGGACCACTCAGAAGCCAGAACCCGACTCCGCCCTTAAGATCGCGTTGGCATCTGTCCACATGACACGTCAGTATCTCCGATCTCGCCAACCTGAACTCTCCACTCCTCCCAGCCACCTGAATACCTGAATCCTGATTGAACGATTAAAATGAGTAAACAGGCGACTCATGTGCTTATCGTTAGTGTGATGAGTTGGTAAAAGCTACTGGATTGCACCTGAGAAACCTGGAGAGTGGAGAGAACCTCAGCCAAGCCGTGCGGCTCGCATATCCATATCGGAGTAGGTATCCCGAGTTCCCGGGATCATTATCAAAGCCTTGGATTTTATTGCATGGAAATGCGTGTTTTAAAACCAGTTTGACATGTCATACCATGAAGCTCTAGATTCTAATTCCGATACTGTGGCCAGTGGTACTGAGTACAGTTCAGAAACACCAACATGGCCCGGCTTTACACCGGAATTTATTGCGCCGTTTATCCAGCTAATAAAACGTGTTGGTGTTGGTTAACTGCAGTGTGTAAACTGTAATGCGATGCAGAGAGCATGGTCCGCCGTTTCCTCTCTGGGCATTCTTGATTCTTGGCCAAAGACATGGTTCCCAAAAAGCGCCGACCCCGCCCCATCGATTTGCATCTAGAGCAGTTTCACCGACCTCCAGTGACTTGAGCCTTTTGAAAACTGCCTGACGAGGACTTTTATCAACTGGCATAGGATGGAAATTCGGTATAGTTAGCCTTCGGTCAGACTAAGACACATTAGATCCTAGGTCAGGCCAAGACGCATGAAGTCTGAATTTAAAACTAACAAGATACAGGTCCAAACGATGCCTCGATTGCCCGGTCTCGTGCAAGAATCAAAAATAATTACAGACATTCGCGATTCTTTAATTGTCCATACATTTCCCGATACTAACGAAGCGGGCAGACGATCGTCTCGAAAAGAATGCTGGAAGCCGGAAAAACGCCTTGGGCGTGGACGATCTGGGCAGGTACAACTACAAAGATGCACTACGGGAGGCACACAACAGGATGCTCTACGAGCAGTAAAGATCATCGAAAAGGGATCGAATCAGAATTTCAATAGGGAGTTAGAAACGATAGCAAAATTCTCTAACTATCGAGTAAGTCGCATCTAGAGAGACCTAGACGCTAGCTAACTAACCTTTATATTAACTTAGTATGAACAGTGGTTTGTAAAATCATTTGGATGGTATGAAGATGCGAACTCGATATTCATTACAATGGAATATTGCCGTTACGGCGATCTTCATTCCTACCTTAAGAAGCAACGTCGTCTACCTGTTCTAGAAGTCCAGCAATTGATATGTCAAGTACTTGAAGGTCTTGATCAAATGCACCAAAATGATTTCACTCATGGGGATCTAAATCCATCAGTAAGCGCGATCTAGTCAGCAAGCGACGGATCATTTTCTAACATTAGTAGAATATTCTCATTAAGTTGATGCCACCAGAGGAGAGTTGGTGGATTGTGCTTACCGATTTTGCTATCAGCAAACGAGCGAACGAAGATAATAGCCCTACAACAGCGATTAAAGGCACAGTAGGATTTATAGCGCCGGAATTGCTAGGCTTTCCGAGTCTTCCTAGACCTAAAGAAACCTCCGGCTTTAGAGCAGCAGATTTATGGGCTCTTGGTGAGATTGCCTTTATAATGCTTACTAGCGAAGCAACGTTCCCATCCCAGTGGCACCTAGGGCGATACTGTCAAGGACAGCAGAGATTCCCGTCCGATCGACTTTCGCCATTCGCTGGAGACGATGGCATAGATTTCATCAGCAGCCTCATGGAGATACATCCAGAGAATCGAATAGATACCACCCAATGCCTCGAACATAGCTGGATAAAGCCGCAGCGTGTAAATCTGGAAGAAGAGATTTCTGGACTGGGCTTAGGACAAGATAGCTCAAGTTACTCGGCTAGCTTGACAAACGTATCACATCCGGACTGTATTCTAGAAACAGTTCAACGAAGCCCGGCAAAGTCGTCAGACTTGTACCAAAGAGGTTCAAGGCAGCCCCAACTTGAGCGGATTTGCAGCAATCCATCAACCTCTAGGACTGGCAAGGAATCGTTATTCCTACCGGGAGCGGCACCGAAAACGCTCGAGGGGCATACGGGTTACGTCGACGCCATTGCCTTTTCGCCGGATGGCAAGATACTGGCGTCGGCATCGAGGGACCATACCGTCAGGCTATGGGACGTCCCGTCGGGAGCGGCGCTAGAGACGCTCGAGTGCCATACAAATGACGTCTACGCCGTGGCCTTCTCCCTAGACGGTAAGAGGCTGGCGTCGGCATCGGGTGACCATACCGTCAGGCTATGGGACGGCCAGTCGGGAGCGGCACTAAAGATGCTCGGGGGCCATACATATTTCGTCTACGCCGTGGCCTTCTCGCCGGACGGCAAGGTACTGGCGTCGGCATCAGGGGACGATACTGTCAGACTGTGGAACGGCCAGTGGGGAGCAGCGCTAAAGACGCTTGCGGGCCATTCAAATGCCGTCGACGCCGTGGTCTTCTCGCCGGACGGTAAGACGCTGGCATCGGCATCGTGGGACCATAGCGTCAGGCTGTGGAACGGCCAGTCAGGAGCGGCGCTAAAGACGCTCACCGGACATACAAATTTCGTCTACGCCGTGGCCTTCTCGCCGGACGGCAAGACGCTGGCGTCGGCATCGGGGGACTACACCGTCAGGCTGTGGGACGCCCGGTCGGGAGCGGCGCTAAAGACGCTTGCGGGCCATTCAAATGCCGTCAACGCCGTGGTCTTCTCGCCGGACGGCAAGACGCTGGCGTCGGCATCGGGTGACCATACCGTTAGGCTATGGGACGGCCGGTCGGGAGCGGCGCTAAAGACGCTTAAGAGACATACAAATGATGTCTACGCCGTAGCCTTCTCGCCGGAGGGCAAGACGCTCGCGTCGGCATCGTGGGATAAAACCGTCAGGCTTTGGACATAATTGGCCCCTGGAGCAATTCCATGTAGTTCTATCCACAGTACTCAAATACACAGCGAAGACGAGTGATCAGCGGTATATTGAAGCAGAGGAGGGCCAGGAAAGGCCTCACAAGTATCTCTTCTCCTACGGACATTTTACCATGCGGGCATTCGAATGTCCATTTCTGACCTCACCAATATCAGCGTATCTGTTTTCTAACCTGGTTTTTCCCTGCGTACTTTTCCCCTGCGGACATTCGAAAGTCCACTACCTCACCGATATCAGCGTGTCTGTTTTCGGACTCCTATTTTCCCCTGCGGATTACCTACCGTGCGGAACATTCGAGAGTCCATTTCCGGACAAGCAGGAAGAAGATGAATAGGAAAATGTGCCGGCTATAGATTATAAGGCCACTCAATCCATACTCCCCTGTATCGCCGCCAAAGTTGAAGTAAAGTCCTGCCACCATTGGCATGGTCGGCATGGGCGCACAAGGTGTACGGTACCGTGTAACCGATATCCAGACAGGCGACAAACTCATTGCGATATAGACCACCCGCTTCCCATTAATTCTCCGGCCAGCAAACGATGAGAAATATCACGAGATCTTTGGGTCCGTGAATGTCCGCGGATTTAACTTGAAGGATATGGTGAAGTAGAAGGATCACGAAATGCCTCAGAGGAAAGCTTTCTATATCTGTGGATTCTCGCTGGAATAGAGGAAAGGAAGCCACAAAGCCCAATCCGGATGCGATTGCGTCTTCAGAAGTGGTCCTTGGCGGGATCTTGTGATACTTTGTTCACACGCGAGGGGGAAAAGACATGTGATTTCACCCAGTGATGTACCATATTGGGTTTGATATACAAGCGGCAATGCAGTCTTGATTCAAATGCTTGTCTATGCTACTACTACGAAAACACTGGTTTCTAGAGTCGACTGGCAAAGCCCGCAACGGGCTTTGTGAACATGACTTGCAATGGCGCTGCCAAGAGCCCTTCCTCCTTCAATCTCTTCGAGAAAGCCTTGAATTGAGGGCTGCCACCGTGAATGCCGAGAGCAGCTTTGTTCTTATATCTGTTGCAGAGCATCAGTCACACCTCTTGGCCCTTGCCTGGGTTTGGAGCGGAGTTACGAAGGGCTCAAAGGTTGACATACCTCTCAAGCAAGATCAATTGTGGTGCATCTCCCTTAGTCTCGCGCTGAAGGTGATACCGCAGCGTGCCGGACTCGTTGGCTTCGACGTACTCAGTGACGCCGGCGAGGAGCTCGATGACCTGATATGTCAAGTTAATGATGGGTCATTTAAGGTGTGTTTCAGATTGCCCTCGACGATATATCATCGAGTCTCTAAATAAACATACTCTGTCCGCCTTGCCGGGCTTGGGCTTGAGAATCGCAATGATGTCAAACGTTTCCGACATACCGCTAGTTGGCTTGCAGGACGTAATCGGTTCTGAGTTATAATCTGCGAATACGCTTTCAGCGGTAGTCACATGAAGATTCTTAAATGGTTATTGTAAGGGTCTCACTGTAGGGTATCTCCAATCGTGAGGCAAACGTAGAATTATTGCTGTGAAGGAGGAATCTATCTAAGGTTTGTAAGGCGTTATGTGTCTTGCGGAGCAAACAGGCCTGTATCATAGTATATCCCCCCGCTAATCTCAGAAATGTGCCGAGGTTGAACACACAACTCTCATCCTCTCACGGCAACGTCTATAGAAAATGTGGCATGTTATACCTTACGGGCATCGGGCACCTGCTCGACTCTATTTCTCATATCCATTCCGTCGACACTTATAAGTATCCTACATCTGTGAAAGTTCCATCCAGTCAGAAGTAGGAACAGCACGACAGGAGTCTCGTGCAGGTATGTACACGCATTGCCAAGGATGGTGGGCCGAGCCGCAAGCCGAGTAGACCCACTAGACAAGTCTCTGGGAGACTCCACCGCAACGTCCCTCGAGTCCTCGACTGCATGAACTGATCCAAATATCCAATGCTTCCTCTTCACAAACAATTAGCGGGGGGCATTCTAACACCTTCGCAAGGTCTGTCAGCTCCGTTTGTCGCTGCTATACGTGAAGGCATTTCATGTATATCAGATGGTAGACTCGACCCCTTATAGTTTGGTGGTTTAATCAAACACTTAAGTTAACTTAGTTATCCATCTACCTACCAGTCAGCTTAGTAGCCTATTTTCACGAGCGTAGCGAGTAATTTAAGTCGTATTGCTTCCGTGATTGATCAACACGCCTAAAAGATCAACAACTTGCGACAATGTTCGAGCAGATGTAGAGCTGCATATTGCGCCATGATCGTTGTGCTGAAAGGGCAGATGTGTAGAATAGGTAAATTTTTGATCAACTGGGGCCGAATCAATGAGGTGCGCTAACAGCGACATATTTAGTCAGTGTGACACGTGATTGAAGTGTACTACGGAATTCCATAGTCAGTTTGTCCCTTCTCCGATACACACCGCGAATGGGAGACGGCAAGAAAATTGTCTTCTCCGCCATTATACTGCGAGATAAAGCACTGCAGTCTTATTCCGCCAAAATGGAGCAGCTGCTGAGCCGGCGGAGCGCACTACATTGTCCCGTCTGTAAAAAGCTCTACACCAACGCTACCAACTGTAAGAGATTACTGAGGAAGCCACTTGACCCGGGCTAACACCATGAAGCACGATCCAAGAGCAAACACATCTCATACTGCCGCAAGAAACACAAGTCAGGCCCTCTACCTAGAAAGAAAGCGTGTGATAAATGTGTGCAGTCTAAGGTCCGCTGCAGCTTAGATCCTGGAGGTTGCTCTCGATGCGCTTCAAGAGGCGTCTCATGCACTTATCAAGGCACCTTGAACGGCCCAAATAGTGCCAACTTGGCCTTTGAAGCAAATGGTGGTAGCCGTATGCAAACGGCCTCCTTGCAGCTCACCGACGTAACCCCGTTGAATTTCCCCCCCCAGTCTTCGAATGACTTGAGGCCCGGTCTCGACAGTCCTTCTGTCGAGGTGGAAGAGACATACAGAGACATCAATTTTTCTCTTACTAATTTTACTTCGAAGAACGACATATTCACACCTGCGTGGCCATACGTGCCTGACTTAGCGACTGACTCTGGTGAGGGTTATCCTCTCGGATCTCATGTCGACGCCTCTATCATCAGCGGCGAGTTACAGTCTGCGTCCAATGTTATAGCCATCTCAGAGCAGTTGCTTCAGCCATCATCTTCGATTCCAGCATCACTAGCCTATCGAGATCCTTCCTCATTGTTTGAACGGCGCAAGTTCTCAGAGCCAGAGTTTGAGCTTACTGGCGACCTTGCCCTGCACATCCTTCATTCCTACCCATATATGATAGCCAACCAGGATTCTGTTCCTCCTTTCATCCACCCGAAATATCAGTATTTGTCTGAAAATGACACGACAAGTCCAAGTCCTCTTAAAGCTGCCCTTAATCTAGCGAAGATGCTGCTGCAAGGCCGACGGATGAATAAGAGCTTGATTTGGGGGCTGGTTCGGATCGAACAGGAGCGACTTCTCATCGAGGTATGTACTGAACCCCTCAATCCGTGTTAGCAATTACTGGAAACCAGGTTATTAACCAGAATCATCGCAAATAGCACTCCAGCTTTAGCAAGTGGGAGGTTCTGGAGGCGTTGCAATCTCTCGTCGTCTATATCCTCCTGAGGATTATTGAGGGACGCCATGACTATACCAACTTTGATACCCAGCTTCTAGCTTCAATTAATGTGAGCAGACATGGTCCAGGCCCCAAAGAACGCCCAGCGTACTCACGAAGAGAAATGTGAAGGCAATATGCAAGCATATCACCACAAACTATGGCAGCCTCATCGGCTTTGATGAAATGTCAGGTCGAATGATCCCGTGGAAGGACTGGGTATTCTTCGAATCGCGCCGTCGGTAAGTGTTTGTGCCCAACGAACATCTCAGAGTTAGGCGGACCCAGCTGACACCATTTCATAAAGAACTTCAACTACCGTACTCATCATAAACAGCATTATTCACGCACAAGTCACCACATCGCCTCAAGCCATGCCCGAGTATTCCTGCTCGCCTGCACCGTCCCCTATGACGCTATGGCGTGCAGAGAACGAATTGGACTGGGTAATCGACTATGCAGAGTACCTACATAAAAATTCCAGCCATGGTATGCTCAGAAACGGCGACCTTGTGGAGTTGAAGGAAGCAGCCGGACAGCAGCACGACAGGTGGTATGCTTATGCCGATTCGTTTGGCCTTCTGGTTACGTTGGTCGCAAACATGACCAATTAAAGAGGCAATTTTGCTGTGTAATGCAAAAAGTCCGATTGCTTGTCATAGTTATAGAACAGTTGGACTAGAGTGCGGAGACAGTGCGATTGAAGATATTATCATTGCGATACGCGCTGACCAAACATGGGTACTTGCGAAACCAAGGCTAATTTGCAGAGAGAAAGGGAATCGATCAGTAATATCGGGATATGGCGATTGGATTGTCCCGAGATATGTTAATTTTGCCTTTCGGGGTTTGCAGCAAATGTCTTCGGAGATGTCCTACGGAGCATATGGGTATGATTTGTCTCGCGGGACTAGTAGATCGAGAGTGGCTTCACCAAAAGAAAAAGTATTTAAAAGGCAGCGTTAGTCAATAACTATGTCTACCAATACTCTACTTGTTCAGCTACATCAGTGGTATTCAACAAACTATTCAACCTCTCGTAGACATGTCCACGTCTTCGTTTTTCCCGTCTGTTACCAAACTATCGCATAACGAATCATACCCCGCCATATCACCATCACGTCCTGAGCTCTTAGTGAAAGGCAAGGCTGTTGTCATCACCGGCGGTGGCAGTGGCATCGGTGCTAGTATCGCAAAAGCCTTTGCAGCAGGCGGAAGCACTAAGATAGCTATTATCGGCCGGACTGAGACGAAACTTCTCGCGACCAAACATGCCACCGAAGAGGAATACCAAGATACCGAAGTTCTGGCCGTGTCTGCCGATATCACCAACGCGAAACAGGTCGATGACGCCTTCCTTAAGATCAGCCAAACCTTTGGCAAGATCGATGTCTTGGTCTGTAACTCTGCGTCCATGCCAATTCCTCACCCTATACTCAGCCCAGATTTCGATGTGCAGGACTGGTGGTCCACATTCAACACCAATATTCTAGGATCACTATACACAGTTAAAGGATTTGCCAGATATGCAGCAGAAGGAGCACATATTCTCAACATCTCAACTTGTGTTGGCCACATGCCGCCGCTGGAAGCTGGTGTGTCTGCCTATGCTGCAAGTAAGGCCGGTGCAGCAAAGTTATTCGACTACATAACGTTCGAAAATCCCGAGCTACACATTGTCAATGTTCACCCCGGCCTTGTTGATACCGACCTGAGTCGCAAGAGCGGCCATGGTGGCATGGATCACAGTTAGTCACCTCATATCTCCTTACTACTTTGCTCGCTCCATTTCTCTCACTCTATTAAACTAGTCAAGCATTTTGGGATACTATAGAAGTCGAAACTGATAGCGCAGCAGTTGATTTGTCTGGCCACTTCTGCTTATGGCTGGTTAGCTCCGAAGCCGACTTTCTCAGGGGCAAGTTCGTATGGGTGAACTGGGACGTAGATGAATTGAAGGCCAGAAAAGATGAAATTCTGAGCACCGATCTCCTGGATACGAAGCTCGGTGGAGTTTCCTTCGTAGGCTGGGATGGGTCCCAGAAGCTGGGAGAGCTCTGAGCGCACTTGTTATTGTTTGATCCAAAGAACTGGGTAGCCTCTCAGCTATGGCTGTTCTGGCATAGATGGCACCTAATCAAGTGTATCTTCTAATTGAAGCCGTGCTGCCGCATTATTGTTGCGCCTTCTTTCACTAATATTGAGCAGCTATGGCTCTAAGCTTCGTCCCATCGTTATTAGTGCATGCAAGGCGTTTTTATAGACGGTTACAGACATACTGTGAACATTAGGTTATAATTATCTCGCGAGAAATTCGTCAACTACTTATTTAGCCTAGATTCTTATCTACCCTACTATCTTAAGGCTGTAATATGATCTGTCTTATATTAGTAAAAGTCCATGGAAAAGTGAAGTGGTCGTTACTAGAAATGAGACTGAACCGTTAGGACTGATAGATTATTGTTCCGTTCTACAATTCTAGCTAGCCTCGAGGCACTAACTACTTTAATTCATATATCATGACTATAAGAACTTCCAATGAACCTGTACTATAAGTGGTAAATGCTGAGACGGTTTGCCTACAATGCATGCACAGTGCTTAAGAGGCCGACGCCAACCTAATTACGTAACCATAATTAACTTCCAGGGGAACAGGCCAAGGGCCTGGAACCATAACAAATGCCAGTGCTTTTAGCCAAACCGCACTCTGCGTCAAAGCGCGATACTCTGGTTGCCATGGACAGTTTTCGTCCCTACTTGCTCTGCGATCTTGCTGTCCTGGTTGTTCCATGTGTTGGATACACCACTTGCTGCCTTGATCATGTCGTCCACCGTGCCTGCCTTCGCTACATCAGCCGGCACTATCACCGACAGTAGCTCCTTCGCACACGCTGCTGCCGCTCCCGCCGCGTATGGCTGCCACTTCTTGTTCTTATGCGAATCGGCGTAGTCACAGATACCTCGGATGACAAGACATGGAAAGCTGTTCATCAGGCCTGCCGCCTCCATCTCAAAACAGAGCACTCCGCCAAATTCCTTACTCACAGTATCCCTCTCCGCAGCATTCTTAATGACCTGATTGCCAGATGCAATTGTACCGTAGTAAATCACAAGGTCCTCGTTCGATCGTGGCTGTCGATCCACCTTCTTGTCTTGGCTGCATGACTTGCATGTCGGCCCTTCCTCGTGATTGTACGCCGCTTCGAATAGGACGTCCTGTCCGGCGGCCTCGCGTGTGAACTCTGTAAGCCGGCGAAACTTGGAGACGTGTTCCGAGAGCTTAGTCTTCCGGCGGATTTGGTTGGCTCGCAGTCTGTTAACAGCGCCTAGTAGGAATACCGGTGGGGAATTGAGAAATCCCGTCCGTTGAAACCCGCTCGGAGTCGACTTCCCAAAGTCGTACTGTATCACTCCGCCGTAGCCTTGATGCGGCTGACTGATAACCACATCTCCCAGCCGGATGTCCGCTTCAGCACTTGGGACGCCGCCCCCGATGCCGACCATCAGGCCAAACCGTATCGACCTAAATGTTGCTCTCAACTGCGTCGCTACTGCCGCGGCGGGGTTGTTCCCTATTAGGCCTGCTGGGAGGCAGACGATAACAATATTATGTTCCCCTATGCGCCCGAGCGAGTACAGATTGTTGTCGTGCTCGTCCTGCTCAAGGTCTTCGTGCTCTTCGTCCAGCATTTCCTGTGCGGCAGCCAGTTCGACCGGCAGCGCGCACACCCATCCTACAGTGTATTCCTCGCGTTGAAGACGACGGCACGCCATTCAGATGGTCGCTGCGGTGCGGTGGGATAGTGGGAGGGAGAAAGCCGCAAGGCTAGAAAGTATACAGGAGCCGAGGAGAGTCGAAGAGGGTTGCGACTAATACAGGTTGAACACGAGACCAGCAGTAGCGACCAGTCATATATATATCGCCTGCATTCCCCGTCGCCAACATTGTCGCCTGCCTAGCCTCCCACTCCCTACTATGTACTCCCTAGGCGCTTGCAGCTGGCAGCGGTAGGGATCGTTGTAAAGTAAGAAGTGGGGACTACCAGTCGGGCGCTGTCATTAGCTATTAATAGAGTGCACATCGTACGACCCCGCCTTGCGCTTCTGCGGTTTACCAACTAATACCACATCGCCGAGCCCTTTTATCTACCTCCTCACTTAGAATGCCTTCTCCGATGTCTACTATCAAGCCAAACCGGATTGACATGAATGCTGACTTCATCGGACGGCGACTATCGCCGCTGAGCTGGTCTCAGTAAGGCCCTCAGGTAGACAGGCGATGACGACGTTATGTTGGTTGACATGTCCGAGCGCGTAAATATATGGGATTGAATGGGCTGCGAGAAAGCCTGGGATATCTCGAGGCTTCCACACTTTTAAACTTAGAATAGCTGGCTTGGGGAAACAGGAGGGTCGAACGGCATGGGACCTTACAACGAATGATACGTATTGCATTACCATGCTTAAGCTGTGTGCTGACTTTGCTCTTTGAATTGCTGCGTCGTCAAGAAATTCAGAATAGATAGAGAAACATAGAAAAGCTAAAGAAGGTGACGATTCATCACGTGCCATCTCCTGGTTGAGGTTGGCAGATGACCTGGCCTTGCGGACTGCATTTGGCGCCGATAATGGTCTGTCCTTAAACCTCAGTCAATCTCTCAAGACACACAGCTCGTAGCTATGATTTTGTTGTGATACGTGGCCTATCTTCCTAGCGATGTACGCTTCCCCAGATCACCAGCCGGTCAGGTTCACCAATGAAGGAGGAGGGGTTGGAGTCCAGGCCGGTCAGAACATCGTGTATAGGGACTTCAACGTGCAGTAAGTTCGGTCTACTAGTTATCTCTCTTTGAGCTTACTGACACGGCGCGATTATCTATGGCAGGACTACACACGATCATAATCCGCTAGACTCCCTCCCTTACGCGCCCAACGCTGCTTTCAACGCACTAGAGAAAGGAGACGACCCTCTCTGCATCCGTGGCACTCGAGTCGACGTCCTTAACGATATCAGGAAATGGATCGATGGAGAAGACAAGCGGCATATCTTCTGGCTGAGTGGCTGGGCAGGCACCGGAAAGTCCACAATAGCACGGACAGTTGCACGGAAATACTATGGCAAAAGTAGACTAGTCGCAAGCTACTTCTTCTCAAAAGGTGGCGGCGACACTGGCAATGCGACAAAGTTCGTTGGTACAATCGCAAGGCAACTGGCGGGCAAATTACCCGAGTTCGAGAGACTGCTCCGGAAAGCCCTGTCGAAGGACAAAGACATTGTCCATCGCGTCCTAAAAGATCAATGGCAGGAACTCATTATTACACCGCTAGCGCAACTTCCGGTCGACTCGCTCCCGTCGCCACTAATAGTGGTTGATGCGCTAGACGAGTGCGATACTGAGAGCAGTATTAGACAAGTGCTCCAGCTTCTGGCCGACACAAGAAATCAAAACCGACAACTGCTTCGGATTTTGATTACAAGCAGACCTGAAGTACCGATCCGGGATGAATTCTCGCGATTCCTACCGGGTGAACACCAACTCATATTACAGGATATATCGAAGTTTATCGTCGACCAAGATATTTCGATTTTCCTAAAGCATAACCTCGCGCAAATTAGCCCAGAAGACGAGATAGTCGCGCAGCTTGTCCGAAAAGCTGCGGGCCTATTTATCTGGGCTGCAACCGCCTGTCGATTCATCTGCGAAGGGTCATCCCCTGAGAAAAGACTCCGCATAATTCTCGGAAGCACCGGCTCTACTATTACCTCGAACGATCATGTTGATGGGATCCATGTCACTTTGTTACAAAACATCATCAGAAGCCTAATTTGGAAGGCAAGTAGCCTTTGGTTTTGGACTGCAATTTTCTGTGGCTTCGTTCGCGAAGGACTAATTGTTAAGCAATGGCTACAAACACTTGTTATGAGCAATACCACGCCAGAAGATCATCTCGACGCGATCTACTTGACTGTTCTCAACAGCTCTCTCCACTCAAGGTTTTCTCCACAGGACATCACCGACTTCCATGGCACGGTAAGAGACGTGCTGGGAAGCATGGTCACCCTTTTCTCCTTCCTTTCGGTCAAATCATTGAGTATCTTACTCTTGAAACCGGAGAAAGACCTTACCTGGACGATGAAAGATCTTCATGCTATTCTAGATTTTCCAAAGGACAATGCTTCAGCTCTTCGTCTCCATCATCCGTCGTTCCGGGACTTTCTTCTTAACAGAGAAAGGTGTCGCGACTCGTACTTCTTGGTAGACGAGAAACAGGCACATCAGATGCTAGCTAACAATTGTATACGGCTTTTGTCGACATATCTGAAGCAGGATGTCTGCAAAGTGAACTCTCCAGGTATGCTTACGGCCGGGGTTGAGAGAAATCAAGTAGACCAGTGTCTTCCGCCAGAGGTCCAGTATGCATGCCACTACTGGATCCAACATCTTCAGAAGAGCGGTGCTCAGCTTCGCGACAATGACAAAGTACACCGTTTCCTACAGGAGCATCTTCTCAACTGGCTGGAAGCGCTAAGCTGGATGCGGAAAGTCTCTGAAGGGATTAATGCTATTAATTCTTTACAATCAATTGCTCTGGTACTTATGCCTTATCATTATAGAAATACGTCCGCTAAAATGCTGTTTAGACCAGCGACTGTCCTAGGCTATACGCGTTTATCTATGATATAAAGCGATTCGCTCTATATCACAGGTCAGCAATCGAGCAAGCTCCCCTCCAAATATATTACTGTGCACTTGTGTTT